CTTGAATCAACCCGAATATTTATTTATCATTTTATAAAGACCAGGAGGATCTAACAATTAAAATACCAACTAGTACAAGTTGGTGTTTGGTCGAAGTTTAGTACTCTTTCTGTTCCAAAATTATTGTTCAGTTTGAGATTTCATTTTTAGTATAATTTGAATTAGAAATGAAAATCCAAACTGGACAATAATTATGGGACGGAGGAGCTATGAAATATGTGGTTGAAGACTTGAAGGTGGAATGGTAGATCAATGACAAACTTATTTCAAACACGTGATTTACACATTAACTATTCGATATTTCAATGAATCTCTAAATGGTGGAGCTACTTACTTTAACAGTTTCATAGTAAACAGTTTTAGCCATGTCATTTTTGAACTTTATTTATATTATAACAAGCTTTAAATTGGAAAATACAACTTCTATTGGGGCCTTTTTCCCTCTTAATTTGCTTTGATAAATTTGTTTTTTAATGGACTTCCGTTCCATAATCCTAATATATGTCCATAGTATATAGGGTTGGTCCCTGATATATGATTAATTAATTGGACCCCCGAAAATTTCATCTCAATGATAGGGACTAAATATAGTGTCAATGTGAAAAGAGCTCATAATAGGTATGTTTGTTGTAAGTTGTTACTTGTAAGAATCTCATCCTGTCATTAAGTTCTGTAAATGGACATTATCCTTTTGAAAGTTCAATTTGTACTTCCTCCATCCAGAAAAAATAGCTCACCTTATAATTTAATTTAATTAAAAAATTAAAATGTGAACTTTTTTTTTTTACGCAAAGAATTATATAAGAAATTGATACACATTTCCTCCCAAAACATAAATTTTGTTTATGAAACAGATTATAAGCTCTCATTTTAAATATCAGGTGATGGTTTAGATATACATGGCATTTTGACTCTCTTACATTTCGTGCAATTTGATCTTTCTCTTTGTCCAACTTTCATTTTTCTTTCCAAACTTAACAAAAGTTTTCCCAACTACAAATACTGTATATAAGCTACTAGCTTGCTTGTGTAGTTTGGTCAAGACTTTAGGATCACTAGCTTTTCTACTCCAACTTCTTGATAGGATCTTTTCTCGGTCTCACGTAGGGAAACAAAAGTTATTTAAGATATGGGAATTAGACCAGAAGAAAATATGAGAATTTGTAATCACGAAATATCAAAATTCAAATTTGGCAAGAGAAAAGAACAATTCTATCGGAGAGAGTAATTCTATTTCTTTGCCACATTGTTGCCTTTTAAATTTCTATGATATGATGCATGCTGGAAATCCAATATCAATCCTAGTTTACCGCAATCGACACATCAAATATTAATGGCTATGTTTGGAAGGTGTTTTGATCGTGTTTTTTTATTGAGAATGTAAAAAGGTGTATTGAAAATGTAAAAATGTCGATTGAGAATGTAAAAAGGTATGCTGGGATGGGATATATATTAATTAAAAGTTCTGAAAAAATGAGTGAAAAAAAAAAACAAACATAACCTTAGTCTACAACATGAAGTAGGTGTGGAAATAAGAACAGGAGGGAAAAGATTAAGGTAATAAAGTATCGAATTCATATTAGTGGACAGTGATTTTAAAATATGGAAGCAAAAACCACCCAAAATCAAATAATTGGGGGTGATAATTAAATATGAAAACAAACCGAAAAACTACATGAAGCGAGCTAATTCATGTCCAAATTCTTCACGTATGCTTTGTAAGTAATTAATTGGACCCTTGCATGGACCAATGGCAAATGTCACCGACACAAAAAGAAACCATACTGACCTGAAAGGAAAGGCAAAACGTACCACTTAAAAATGAAAAATCTTGTGGAAATGTAACGCATTGCCTCAGCACGTGTTCCACACTTTCCACACAGATATCTCTACGTACTCTTCTTTTTTCTGGGCTAACTCCATTTGTTTAAAAAAATAAATTTGCCAAAATTAAGGCAATCAAAATTTAGGATAACTTGCACGTCTAATATTCTGAAATTGCGAATTTATCATCACTTCATTTTTTTTTTGTCTCACCAACAAATTCAACATTGCAAAGAAATTTAAAACATAAATTGGTTTTCACTCGATAGAAATATCATTTGTTTGGCTGACTGATCGTTACGCTTTAACATCTTAGAGCGAGGCGATGATCAAATTTTACAATATTACTACTTGTGATGAATCGTATTTTATTTGTGAATTCATTTAATATCTATAAAATAAATTATCAATATAATAATGAAGCGTAGAAACTACATAGTAAACCAATTTTTGTTTTTGTCTTCTCCAATTAACTCATTAATGAAATACTAGATCAGTGATAACCAAATTCAATCCGATGGAAGGGGAAAAAAGGGAAGAAAACGAGTGGGTAAGGAGCCGCAACAGGAAACATTACGCGTAAATCCTGGCTGTATCCAGGGGTCCTCTGAGGTTAAATCCTGTCTGAAGAATTGTAATCGGGTTCTGCGATGTGAACGGAAATTATGTAGAGTGTTATTATTTCAAAAAAAAAAAAAAAAAAACTATGATAGAGAAGAATAAATTTAGTACAAATTATTATTGTTATTTATTCTTTTACTTTTCCTCTAACGGATATGCAATTTATTTAACCTTTTTTTTTAGTGTCTATTATGATAGAGAAGAAATCATAGATACATATAACAAATTGGACTATTTAAAATGGTATTATAATTCTTGAAAGATACTTCTTCTGTCCCAAAATTATTGTCCAGTTTGAGATTTCATTTTTAGTACAATTTGAACTAGAAATTAAAACTCAAACTGGACAATAATTATGGGATGGAGGGAGTATATTTTAATCCATTAGTTTTATTTTTGGACTAATAATCCATTAGTCAGGAGTTAGGACGAGCTTGTGTGTATGTGTGTGTGAAGGCAACTTGATTCTTGAAACACATAATAATATATCCACCTTAACAACGGATTTCAAATGAAAAGCAGCTAATGTCATTTCATTTTTATCAATATCAAGCTGGGTGTAGCTTTGATTATTAATTCTATTTGATACTTCTTTGAAAATAAAATGAAACTCTTGAGGGTTTTTCTATCGTCATAGATAATGAAATCTCCACTTTTTATCTCAAAATACATAAATTATGAGCTAATATCCAAGCTGGGTGTAGTATTATATTGTGACTGATCTCCATTCGGTAGATAGACCTTTTTTTTTGTTGGCAATAAAGTATGCTCAAAAATTAAATGATCACATTATTGAGAAATGAAACCCTATGACATTGTGTTGAAACCATGATTTAATACATATATTGAGTTAATATCGCTACAATTTGGATCGTTTTCTGAAAATTCTTGCTTTGCATGGCAGAAAAGGGAGAAAGCCACAATGGAGTCCAATGCTTAATGGGCTTAGTCGCTGAGCAATGGAAAAATGGATTGGTCTACATAGCAGCTTCATGGGTTTCAATCTGGATAGTCCATTAGAAGTATACGATCGGTCCGATCGAATATGAATGAATTCAAACTTTTGGTCTAACCATAAACATCCATTGTTTGAACGAATTTCCCTTGCTATGAGCATTGAGTAATTTTAAATTATGTAACCAGTTTTTTTTACCCGTCAAAATTTCTACTATAAATTTAGTCATTGTTGTCTACTGTAGACACCCTGCACTATATATATAAAAAACTTTTGAAATGTTTTACCAATCATGTACGTACAATTTAACAAGCGAATTAGTTATTGTTACTGATGCTGGATAATGTCTAATATATATGAAAAAAAAAAGATAATTGGTCCAACCAAAGAGGTTATTGTTGAGAGGAGGTAAAGTCTTATTTATCTTTAATAATAGGTGGGAAGTTTGAAACGAGTCATGGAGATGAAGCATTATAAATCTTAAGGCTGGCTAACTATGGCATCCATCAAAGTATTTACAACTAGATAAAAGATTAATTATTGTTGCTGATGGAAATATGTTAGGGAGCAATGGAGCATCACTACATCAAGATATGGCGACTCTCGCCATTTTAGCTTCTTTATTTGGCATTACACTCGTTTATATTTAGATTTTAGATCAATGAATAAAACTCTTCTTCTTTTCTTTTGTGACTAAAATGACATACTGCGGAATTATTTTTGTTTTTAAATTACAGCAATTCTTAAAGTAACTATTGTCAGGGCGAAGAATCTTCTCCTTGGTGCTGAACATAAAAATCACATAGGTTGAAATTTGAACAATAGCATTTTTGTTTTTATTAGTGAGTTATTTACTACGATACAACATTCTGTTTCTAAAACTATTCAGATTTTTTTAAAGATAAAACCTTATTTGTGACTCTGCTGTGCATAATTTTTTGACCTTTTTTTTGTATCTTGTTAGTGTATGCTGAACTAAAGATATCACCGAGAACAACTAAACTTAGACTGAAGAATTCAAGATTAAACTAACTCATATTATTAATTAACTTTTAATTTTAATTTTATTTTTTGAGGATGAAAAACTTACATATATACATTACACTGGTTAAAATTTAGCCAATATACAAAGAAACTTGGCACGACCACATTCAACTTAACAAACGCTACATTATTGTACATGCAACATATCCGGAGTAAATTTTTGAAGACAAAACATAGCCAATTCATGGCAAATTTGGTGAATCTAATATGGAAGAGTTGGTTATATCAAAACGCAAACAAATACTAGCATATATTCCTGGTCTGGAAAATTCGAGTACTTTGATAATCCCAAAAGCTAAATTCCACTAATAAAGAGAACATTAAGATATGCCAGTATAGTCTAGATTGCTCTAAACCCTTTTCCATAATCCAAAATTCCCCTACAAACAAAAGAATCCCTAAACCAATGAAATTACAGTGAATTAAAATAGTAACTGAAATTATTATACGTTCTAATCTAAATTTGTGAGGTTATAGCCTCCTTTTTTGTACCCGGAAAAAAATATAGTGACTGATTAAAACATTTTTACGACTCCACTAATCTTTATTTGGTATGTAGTGCCCACATTTCTGAAGATCCTATAAGTCTCTCTTAAATATTTGGCAAATACTCCATAAATTCTTCCGAAACACAATCAAACACCAAACAAAAGGCATAAGGAGTTAATGAAGGAGTGGAATGTTCATTGTTTTGTCAATTTGATACCAACAAAATTTGCCCAATTTCTGTCTGTTTTTTTTTTTCTTTCTTTCTTTTATCTTTCTTACAAGATTGACAGACTGTTTGTTACACAACTTTTACTCCTACCCATCCTTCGCCCCGACCGTTAAATTCCAATCCAAAGAGTCTCTTTCTGCGATCATGTTATTTCACCACTGCTCAATTCAGCAAGATTTTGGCTGGTTTTGCTCAGAAAAAATTTCAGCCTGCAGAAAAAAAAGAGGGGAATTCATCATACTGTGTGTTATCCCCAACTTTTCTCCTTAAACATTGTGCCCAGATTTCCTTTTCCTTCTTCTGAGGATAAAATTGCCTAAACCCCACTAATTCCATCAGAAAACAATATACTATCAGTTTTTTTTCCTAGCCTAAAACATGTTAAACGTTCTGGAATTGGCCTGAAAAAAAAGTTTAATATAAGCCCACCAACCACAGTCATCATCATTAGTTCATCACCACCTCTAAAACCATCATTGGGGTTGTGGGATTCTGTGTTTTTTTTGTAATGTGTGCTAGCTTTGTTTGTTTTCTTCTTTTCCAGTGATTGAGAGGTTCTGGACTTGTAGTTTTGTATCTCTTCTTATTAGTCCCATTGGATTCCTTTTTTTGTTTTCTCCCTCGTTTTCACCTTCATAAATTGACAAATAAACATAAAGATCCAATTTTTCTTTTACTGTTATTCTTTCCCTCTGAGAGATGTGAACAGTGACCACAAATAGCTCATTTTCAGTCTCAGAAACTCCATACCTCGGGACTTAACGGGTTTTCAGTCTTTCAGACAAACCAAACAGAACCCATAAATTTCCTTCCATTTTTATGCACTCTTTTACACATTGAATGAGATTTGAGGTCCAAGAGAGAGAGAAAAAAAAAGGGAAGAAAAAGGGGGCTTATTTTCTAGAGTTAGAAATGTCCACGTGAAAGAAGTAAGTCCTAAGCAAAAAAGAGGAGTCTTGACAGCTTAGAGAGGTTTGCATGCATAAGAGCATAATATATTAGGACAAGTGTCTTGATGAGGTCATAACAAGTCCACAAAACCGCATTTCGAGTATAAATTCAGAAGTGGTTTTAGAGGGGTTTTTGCTGTTGGTTTTTCCTTTGTTTTCCCACCCCTTTAAATCCTGCTGCTTGCATGTGTTCGTTTTCTTGGTGTAAATACGAAGACAGAAAACCACCTCCATTTTTGCTTCAATATCTCACCACGTGTATTTTGGCGGTCTGTAACGCCTCTTTTCACCTCCTTATGACCTCAGTCTTCACTTTAGCCTTCTAATTTTGTTATATTATTCCTTCATTGTCTTCCCCAATTCAAGTCAATTTCAGGGGTGTTCACCCTTTTTTTTTCACTTCAGTTGTGAGTCTGATGATCTGAAGTCAATTCCAATTTCTGATTTAGTCCCATTTGTGAATTAGTCCTTGGTGATCATCTGAATAGTCCAGAAAATTTTAAGACTAACTTAGCTTACTCCTCTGTAATTATGTCAAGTCTGTTTTTTTTCTCCAATGTCAATTGAAGGATCAGAATGGGAATAGGGATTGAGAATTTATTCAAGTAAAGCTCCAAGTTTTGTGCAAATGGCTTCTTCAATCCTTCGGTTCAGGAAGCTCTGCTTTGTGGAGCCTGTGAAGTGGTCTTCTTCATTAGGCTCTGAATCATGTCAGAAGCAGAAAAATGAAGAGAAACAAACATACGATGCTTTCAAAGAACAAGAGAAAGAGAACCCAAAAGGGAAAAGACAAAAAAAGCAGCCTAAGGAATGGAGATGTATGGATAATTGCTGTAGGACAATTGGATACATATGCACAACATGGTGGCTTCTATTGTTTTTGGTGAACTGTTTACCAGCTAATTTGCCTGGACTTAGTGTCCCAGAGCCTCCAGGTGCTAGGCTCAAAAGGGAAGGATTAACAGCTCTCCATCCTGTTGTTTTGGTACCTGGCATTGTGACTGGGGGCCTTGAGCTTTGGGAAGGCAAGCCTTGTTCTGAAGGTTTGTTTAGGAAGCGGCTATGGGGAGGGAGCTTTACCGAAATATTCAAGAGGTTTGAATTTACATTCTTTCTAGGATTTTTCTTCTTATTTTGATCCTGAATTTTGCCTGTGATACTAAAAGTTGGTGGTTGTTTTGAATTTAGGCCTTTGTGTTGGTTGGAGCATCTATCTTTGGACAATGAAACAGGGCTTGATCCTCCAGGAATTCGAGTTCGTGCCGTTCCAGGGCTGGTTGCCGCCGACTATTTTGCTCCTGGTTATTTCGTTTGGGCTATTTTGATTGAGAATTTAGCTAAAATTGGCTATGAGAGCAAGAACATGTACATGGCTGCCTATGACTGGAGGCTGTCTTTTCAGAACACCGAGGTAGACAACAATAATTCTTTTGTTCTGTTTTATTCTTCACTGATCTCCATTTCAAAATGTAGTATAATCGCTGGTCAGCATTGAGTTTATTCCATGTACTAAAGGCTAATGGGTAAAGCATTTAACTGAGTGGAGAACCTTACTGTAGCCATAATGCCTTCAATGATGCTCCATTAATAGCAATGTCTGCATATTCTCATTCCTTTGAAGTTTAAAAGGCATTCTATATTATAAGCCATGTGATCGTGATTGAGCTTTGATACATCCATCGATCGATGTTCTTTTTGCAGGCATTTCAATCTTATATGTTGTTGCAAATAAAGTCTGGAGGATTTTTAGATACCTTTCTGAATTTTGATTGTTGCCTGCATTGTTTGTTTAATTGGATTTTATGTACTAGCAGAATGTAGACGGCCATTGACTAATTATCAGCTCCCATATGGTTTTGAGCAGGTAAGGGACCAAGCCCTTAGTAGATTGAAGAGTAAAATTGAGCTTATGTATTTAACAAATGGCCGTAGAAAGGTGGTGGTTGTACCTCATTCCATGGGGGTTATATATTTTCTCCACTTCCTTAAATGGGTTGAAACACCAACCCCAATGGGAGGAGGAGGTGGTCCAGATTGGTGCAACAAACATATAAAAGCTGTAATGAACATTGGTCCGGCATTTCTTGGCGTTCCCAAGACTGTTGGCAATTTGTTATCTGCTGAGAGCAAAGATGTTGCTCTTGTCAGGTTTGATCTTTTTTTCAATCTGCACACTTCTGAATGCTATACTCTGTGTTTTGATTTATCTTGATGAAGTGAACCGCCTTGAAAACCAAACCGTAACAAATGTTTTCTGTGAAACTGCTATGTGCACTCAAATCTGAATTACGCATTCTGTTGTATCCTAATTTTCTCACGTTTGCATATTCAATTTGCAGAGCAATGGCTCCTGTTCTTTTGGATTCTAAAACTTTGGGCCTTCAGACTCTAGAACATGCTATGAGGGTATGTCGAACTTGGGATTCTGTTGTTTCTTTGTTACCTAAAGGGGGAGACGCCATTTGGGGTAACTTAGACTGGTCTCCTGAAGAAGGCCATATATGTGATTCATTCAAGGAAAGGCGAACGCAATCCTCTTCAGTAGACAAAAAGGGCAACTATACTGATGATAGAGGAGTTATTCACTTAAAAGAGGCAAGCAAGTATGGGAGGATTATATCTTTTGGAAAGGAAGCATCTGAAGTACCTTCTTCGCATCTTTCAACTCTTGCCTCGAAGGTAACTTTTGTTGAGTATGCTTTCTTGATCGCTTAAAAATTTAAAATGGATTCTCAGGTCCTGTGTTTAGACTTAGCATAATCAGTGGAACAAGAATGAGTCTAGCATAAATGTTCCTTCACTAATTTCATATGTATATATAGCATTTTTTTTTTGTTAATATTCTGAGCTGGGAGGATTTGAAGTGTTTCTGATAGTATGTGTTCTTGTACTTTCCAGTGATCCGAACCTTGATCTCTCATAAATTTTCAAGGCACTCATATATTCTTGAATATTTGGATTATCTCAAAATTACATAATGCAGAGCTCAAGCAACTGATTTGATAATTTTGCAAGAAAGACTTCTTCTCTCAGAAGTAGTTCCATGTCTTGTTATCCTCTCAACTGATTCATAAGTAACATTTATTTTAATCAGGTAGGTTTGCACAACACTGCCAACATTTCGTGTGGAAAGGTGTGGACTGAGTATGATGAGATGAGCCCAGAAAGCATCAGCAAGGTTGTTGAAAAGAAAGCCTACACAGCAACAACTTTAGCCGATCTTCTCCGGCTTGTGGCTCCAAAAATGATGCAGCGTGCTGAGGCTCATTTCTCTCATGGGATTGCCGAGAACTTGGATGATCCCAAGTATAACCATTATAAGTACTGGTCAAATCCACTAGAAACCAAGTAAGCCTAGTTGCATTTTCTTAGATATTTAATATGAAGATTATGGAGGGTAAGAGGTGCTCATAACAGTTTTCTTTTTTCTTTTGTTTTTTCTGGTGTTCATTTTAATTGATACTAATCACTAAATGCTTTATTTTAGATTACCAAATGCCCCTGATATGGAGATTTACTGTCTATACGGTGCTGGAATCCCGACAGAGAGATCCTATGTCTACAAACTATCACACTCAGACAAGTGTAAGAGCATCCCTTTCCAAATTGACACTTCAGCCGATGGAAGCGGTATCAATGGTTGCTTGAAAGGAGGCGTCTACTTTGTGGATGGCGACGAAACTGTGCCTGTGTTAAGCGCCGGCTTCATGTGTGCTAAAGGGTGGAGAGGGAAAACAAGATTCAATCCATCTGGTATTGCAACCTACATCAGAGAATATCGGCACAAACCACCAATGAGTCTCCTGGAGGGAAGAGGGCTAGAGAGCGGCGCACACGTGGACATAATGGGAAATGTGGCCTTGATCGAGGATGTTTTGAGAGTCGCAGCAGGGGCAAATGGTGCAGATTTGGGAGGTGATCGAATATATTCAGACATCATGAAAATATCGGAACGGGTGAACATTAGGCTTTAACTGAGGCTTTGCATGAGATTTTTGCTGGAGAGTTTGCTGAAGAATGAAGAAAGCATCACAAACAAGGTTTCGAAACTATAGTTTAAAACATAGAGGGAGAGAGAACCATGTCGGCTGAATTGGGATTTTGACTGCTGTCCTAGAATGTAGAATGACAAGATTTTGAATGGGTGTAAAGAGAAATAAAAGGGCCTTGTAAGAAAGGCCAAAATCTTGGTTCTTCATTTAACATAAATAATGTCAATGTGTCAACCTTGTCCTTCTTCATTAGTGAAATCTCTTTTTTGTAATCATCATATAATAGCTAAATGAGATTCTATCTTATGTTCGCTGGATACATTTGTCCCCTTAATATGATATCATATACTCCTTCTGTCCCAAAATTATTCATTTATCAAATTATACAAAAAGTGAATTCTCATATGCAAAATAATTTTGGATTAGAGGAAATATATTTTTATTGTTTAATAAAAATTTAAATTAAACAATCATTTCGAGAGATATTATTTACTCCATATCACATTTGGGAAATGTTAAAATCGCTAGTCATGTAAAATGGCAGGTAACTCGTTTTGGTAATAATTGTTGATCATCATATCAATAAATGTTGGATGATTTTAATAAATTTCAACTAAAATTTTACACAATCACCACATACATAGTAGCAGTAACCATTCTAAAGAATCTCATATTTCGAATCACATTTTTGCGGGTAACGAAAAAAAAGAAAAAAAGAATTACGAGCACATCAAATATGGAATCATGAATCTAGAAGATTCTAAAGTTTCTTTCTTGGTTTCTAAGGACAATTTATCAAAAGTTTATTCCAAATTTTATCAAAAGGCTTTGATATGTCAGCATCATTTTATATTCTTCTTGACCATACTAGCCTTTTCTAGATTCTTCACATTTCCTTTCAATTTCGGAGGTGAAAAAAAAAAAAAAAAGGGAGAAAGAATATATACTTTTCTTTCCCTCCACCGTGTCAAAGGAGGGCCCACCGTCCACCTCAGCCCTGCCCCGCGTCTCTGCTTCGTATATATACGCCCAAATTGCTCAAACTGTTCTTTCAATTTTTCCGATATTTGACAAAGAACGCAAAAGGAAAAGAATTAAAAGAAGAAATTAAAACCCTGTAAGACATAGAATCGAGAAGCTCGGTGGACCGGAACGATGTGTTTGGTGTTTGTCTGTGACGAGGATGAAAGGGTTTTGGGAAGGCAAGCAGCTCCAGGGGCATGCCCGTATTGCGGCGGAATGGTTCAAGCTTTGGATGTAGAGAAACAATGGAGATTATGCTTCGTCCCTCTTTATTTTAAGAACAAGCGCAAGTTTGGCTGTACCATCTGCGGCCGCCGTCTCATCGTACAATAGGCCGCCGCCGCCGCCTCCAACCGGATTTGATGGCTGCTTTGTTAGGTTTGGTTGTAATCTGCTAATTGCAATTGTGCCGGTGTTCTTGATTTTGTATCATTTTTGTATATACTGTAGATTATAGTGATGGATGTGAATTTGTTATGAATTGAATAAAATCTTCTGATTTTGGTTGATTTTGTTTGCCCATATTTAGATTTCCTCACGCCTCTTTGTTTATTACCCCCTTCGTCCCATAATTATTCCCCTCTTTCAATTTTCATTTTCTGTTCAAATTGTACTAAAAGTGAAAATCCAAATTGGACAATAATTATGGGATGGAGGGAGCACTATCTTTGTTGCTTTATCTTAGAACTTAGGGGATAAACAGTTGAATTTGACTCTGTTTATCAGCTTTCAGATTGCTTTCGATTTTCCCCTCCATTTGTGTTCTGGTTTGAGATTGAATTTGACTCTGTTTTCTGCAATTCATCTGTGAGCCTGCTGGCTTTTACCATCAAATCAGACTTTTGGGATAAGCTTTTGCGTTTTTAACATCTTGTCTTCCTGTTTTTACTCTTGAAATCAAATACCTTTTGGCCCCGCCTTTTCCAAACTTTTATAACCAACCCAATGACCCATGAACAAGTAGTATATTTTGCAGAGAGTTCATTCCAGCAGAGGGTTGATTATATCTCTAGTGTATCATCAGCTCCCAACTGAACTTGCATTATATGAGATTCATTCTCAAGAAAGCCTTTAGTCATCTGAATTTCGAGAAACTGGTGGATGCGTAGAGATTTTATACACTTCTATGTTACGACAAAAATCTCTTTTATTCAACCACAAAGCTGATGCGGCCATAAAGTACAACTGATGTCGTGATCATAAATGTATATGATTTAAACTACGATTTCAGACTGCATTAATTCATCGTCGAAGTGTAATTTACAGAAGCTCCAGCTTTCTGCAATTTATTTGTGATCTTGGCCGCTTTTCACCAACGTTTCAAACATTTCTGAATGTCACTTTTTGGGTTGAGATTTTGTTTTATGCAGTTAACTTTTTTGGCTGGAGGTGAAACATTTTTTTTTGTTTTTGTTTTTGTTTTTTTTTTTTTTGTCACAAGTAATAATCATTATATATTAAGTGAAAAAGATGCCCAATACACAAGTACAACAACAATTAACCATTCATGTCAAACCTAGTCATAGAAGATTTAGACTGAATCTGCGTACAAGTCTGAGCCTAACTAGTTTGAGCTAACTTGTAGCAACTTCACTGATTACTGAAAGAAAATAAAAGTAGTGATAGAAAGGAATGAAAAGAACTCTTACAAAAAAATATCAACTACACACAGACCTATCTTACGTTGTAGATCTGGATCTAGATTTCAAATAAAAAACGCCTATAAAATTTAAATCTGTAACGGATCTTCTCTTATTAATCTTCAGACTCCATGTATATCTTTTAATCAATCATGGATCTTTTGGCGTTCATCAGATCTGTTCAAAATGGAAGAACAAATCCAGTTCTGATGGAAGAGGTGTTTGCTTGGACAATAAAGCTAGTTTTGATATCTTATTTATTTTCTGGAATTACAAGGAAAAGAAAATACACGAGAAAAATAGTATCAAAACATACAATAAAAACACAAAAAGTCCAAATTTTTTTTTTAAAAAATCCTTAAAATACTTAAAATAGAGACATTAAAATATCTAAGGGCCAGAAGAAATCCACAAGGGTGGGTTCAGGAAATGGTCAACTCCATGAACTGAATCAACTTTAAAGGGCGGAGGGAGGTATTGTTCAACTCCCTGAAAACCATCAATGATGCGTCCATCTTTAAGGTTATAAACTCCCATATCAGTGCCTCCCCCATTTATTCCATCTACGTAGTCGTATAAATGAGAACCAAAATATATAGGATTACCTTCAATTCCAATTCCCTTGCTTCTGCCTCTGAATACGAAACAGCAGCATTGTATCCCACAAATATGGCATCTCCTCCTACATGATCAATGAGCTTGAAAGCATTGTTCACTGTATCCGATCCAACCACAAAAACTCGATCGCGACGATTGGGGGATTGATGGAGGCGTATAACAAACAGTAACTTTCCTTGACCTCCATCTAATGAGGATGACGATTTCACCAAATACATGTGGAATATTTGATGAGGTAGGGTGATCATTGAGGAAAAACAAAGGTGTACAACGGGCGGCAAATTACCATCCCAAACCCACATATTTATCCAGGGATCCATAATGTAGAATCTACCATTGTAGAAATTCACGTGTGTGGAAGGAAAGACATTGTTCGATACCTGATTCTATTTTAGTCCACGCTGAATCTCCGGGCCTCCAAAAAGCTAGAGCGTCACCATGACAGTGAATCGCAATTAGTGTAAAGTTTGACACCCTAGATGGGTTGTGTGACAGATAAGAGAAAAGGGCCAAAGTGGTTGAAAACAGTTTTCACGGTTTTAACATTGGGGAGTTTAAATTGTGCACGGGAAAAAGGATTCACCAGAGAAACGTCTCCTGTATCCGAAAGAGTTAGTAACCATCCAAATCTCACTTCAATGCACCTTTTGCCTTTTACCTCTGGGATGGATAATCTCATGCAAATCTTTCTCTTTGATAAGTTATAAAACACACATTCGTCGCTATTCCTTTTGTTGCAAGCATAAGGAGCGGAATTCTTGGAGACAAGGGAGTCAAGAATTTATCAACGGCAACATTGACTCGCCAAGAAGTACACACACCTCGGAATGCCATGAAATCTTCTATGGATTGTAAGTAAGGAACTATCTCCATCAGCAGTTCGGGTGGAAGGGACGACCAATCAACGAGGTTACCCCTATAGCATACAAAAAGTTTACATTATTAGTATATTTAATTTTGAGACTCAAGAAACTATGTTCATGAAAAGAATATGTTTAAAATCATCCATTAAAATTGAACCATTTTTTTAAATGGATGACCCAGTGAAACTCGAACCCTCAACCATCTGGTAATAACCTCCCCATCCTAATCCCCTAACCCCCACCCAATCCAACCCAATTTAAAATTGAACTTCTAAATTGAGAAAAAAAAATCACAAAGTAGATTTGAATTCTAAAGTACTGATTGAGAGGGGAGCGACAACAGGTTTAGGAGAAGACAGCATACAGTAACGGTTGAACCAAAAAAATTAAAATTAGAATTAGAAATTTAAATTAAATTAACCTTAAACGCTGAAAACTTACCTCAAGTTACGACAGACAACAAGCTGCATAATTGCAGGCGAGCAGAAATGCAGCAAGGATTGAGGCTGCAAAAGCGACAAGGCCTTTGAAAAATCTGGGAATAGGCTCACAGAAGTGAAAACAAACTACACAAGTGAAATCTTTAGTACTAAAGAGACAAATCGTAGCTGCTTAAGAAAGACAGATTCGAAAGCTACAAAAGCATAAAATAAATCAGAAAACGTGAATAACACAGATGCAAAACTTCTCTATTTATAGAGGGGTTTCTGATTATTGCTAATCCTGTTAGGTTTACTAATATCCTAAACTTAAGGTCTGAAACTGACGGAATAAAAAAAAGAATTATAGTAATAAAAAGGAAATTAACTGTATTTTAAAGTTCTGCTATCCATAATAAAGAAAAAAAAAAAAACAAAATCAAAGGGCTAACCTTCTTCGCGATGCTGGAAAATTTGGAAGGCCCGCAACGAAGAGGCTTTTGAAGGAGTGTACCGGCCTATCAGAAATCTAACAGGAGAAATCCAAGCCTCATCTATGGAGGTTATCAGAGTGCATAAAAAGAATCACAGAAGCCGCTAATTGGACACACAAATCAAATGATCACAAGACACCCTCTCACACTAATTCGTTCGAGGCAATATGGAAGCCGCCGCCATGGGAATGGATACGTGTAAATACAGATGGAGCGGTGCAGACAACTCGGGTTACTGAGAAACGACGATTGCGCAAGGATATCTATTGTCATTACTTGTTGTCTTACACTCTGCAGTCCCCCTTTCTAGCAAAGCTGAGGTCCCTGGGCAATACTTCCCGAAGCTGCAATCAGCATTGAGTATTGACTTACACTGTCGACCAATATCGACGGACTCTTAAAATTTCTGAATATAAATTCTCCTTCATATGCATGCAAAAATGCCCGTCCCTGAGCGGCTCCAATTTAAACCTTGTCCCAAGAATGCGGATGAATTGCGGAACCCCCTGTATTCGTGTAAGTGGTATGTACAAAGTCACATATACGTTCATAAGCATATCCTCTAAAATCTGGAAGCCCATGAAGACTTTCGGGTCAAAGATCATTGAGTTGCTAGCAAATTAATTAGCATAACAAAATGTTGAGGATGGAGGTCGGGAAATCATTGCATCACTGAAAGTTTTGCTAATATCTGGTAATTAGGTGTTTTATGAATTGATGTTTTCTTGTTTTTTATTTTAAGACAAGGTACCAATGCAATTTACTGTTGATTTTGGTTGTTGCTTTATGGGCTTTACGGTTGCAAGAGGTCTATTGCATAGTAAGTGTTTGATTTTATGCATAAAAGAGTTTTTAATGTAAATTCCGTTTCGAAATCGTTATATTTATTCTATTTTCTCCTCCAATTGTTCTTCTTTCTTTCTTTTGTTTTGGCCTTCTTCCAAATCTCAGTTAATTGTCTCTCTGTCCGCAACACTAAAATTTATCTGCAAGTGTGTGTAATTGCATCTTGTAGAATTTGCAAAACTTTGCTGTGAGATCAATGCTGCAGATTTTGAAGGGGTTTTGTTCTGTTCACTCGTTTATAGTTTTTGGCATCTGAGTCATTTTCGATTGATGACATTGACATCCATCAAGCATAAGACTTATTTCCATTTCTTCTGGCCATAAATTAGAAAGCTTGTATCTTGGAATTACCAGACATACATTTTTAACTTTGCTGATCTTGTTCGCGCATTGTTGTTTCTTAATTTTGTTAACTGAATTTTATAGTTATTATATATGTCTGAGTATGATTCGTGAATAACTTAATTTCACAAGAGAAATTAGAAAATCGAATCATCGTTGGTAGACTGTTAAAAATCATCTTTGTTTGAATTGGATTGGGATACATAGTTGAGTTCCATCTTGATTTCATCTTAGAACTGTGCTAATTAGCTTTCTGGAGAATTACTTGGAAAAATAATTATTAGTATTATCATTCTTTTTGAGTCTTCTCTGCAGTATTTAAGGAATTTGATTTCGTCATTGATAGGGTGTATTTGAGATAGAGAGGAATTGGAACTTAGATGGAAGATCGTCAAGGAGTAGAAGTGAATGAGCCGATGAATCTCTCTGAGATCCTTCTGGATCTGGTCCCATTCCTCAGTAAGTCGTGTTGCTTTCTTTTCAATAAATTCTTCATTCATGAAAGCTTAGTTGAGTTCCTTGCCCCCACTTATATGTTTTCTGAAGGGATATGTTCCGTTTGATACTCGGTGTAAACTATTACTTTTTCGTCTGGTGTTAAAGGTTAATTTCACGTCTTGTGTTGGATTCAGCAACTCATACTCAGGAGTTCTGAATCTGAAGTTTGTTTAGTTCTATCCCAGCGCCCAAGTCCGAATCTCGTATGGAGTTTGAAGTAAAATACTAATTATGCGCTTTAAGTTTCAGTTTTGCTTCATTTTTATTCCCGCCTTAATGCATGATTATTACGGGTACAGGTGCGGTCGGACCAAGTACCTAGTACTACCTCAATTATAAAGACAGAATATCCGCTAGTGTAACTGCCATTATACGCTCACCAAAACAAACAACACCGGGCCCCGATTAAAATATCTGCATATACTTCACTTACAAGTAGAATCTCTAATTCTTTCTTTCTCTTTCCCAATCAAGGATCCTTCTTTCCTATTCCACCGCAGTTTTCCTTGAAATTTTCAAAACTCAGAACCACAGTTCTGCTTCTCTTCCGCCATGTATACAAACAGAAAGAAACTAGGGGAGTCTTTTGCAGCTGTGGATCCATGGCGACATCTTTGTCCTCTATGGTGGTGTTTGGATGACATCATCATCATCAACATCTTCTACTTTGGAAGTTAGGGGCTTCAAAAATGTGTCGATTTTGCTTAATTTGCGTTTATTGTAGAAGTTTTTCAGTTTTCCTTTAAGAATGTTGCTTCTTGTTGGTATTTGCTTCTTGTAGAAGTTAGGGGCTTCTCTTTTGCTTCACAAACATGTTCAGGTGATGAATAATCCTGATAAGCTAGAAATTCGCTACTGGGAAGAGAAAAGTGAACAGAATTCAAAAAAGATAGAAATTAGCTGGGAAAGTAAACATGAATTCAAGAAAGTTAGAGGCCTACAGCTTACTGTTTCAGTTTCGTAATTTGATTTCTCTTGGGATTGATGGGGGTTTGGGGCATTCCATCGGTAATTTTCTTTTCTTCTGTACAAGGTACTTTTGTAAGATATGATTAGCCGACTTAATGGGTACTAAAGACTTAGCTGTAGTTATTGATATTGATACCAGTTGACCTAAATAAAACCAATGGCACTGAGAAGAAGTTGTTTTGGAAATCTGATTGCTCAATTGGTTTACTTTGTTAGGATGGTATTTTCAGTATTTCTCTTCTAATTTTGTTTAGCTTTGCAAAAATTCGATGCAGAAGTTCATTTTGGGTCCAAGGGACCATGCTGTAAGAGGATGACGGAAAACTGGTGGTTGAGGATTCATTTCACCCAAAAAGTTTCCTGGAACTGGAGGAGGAGATGATGAGGAGCCGCCAGAAAATTCCTCATCTGATGGTTTGCATGCATCAATAATGATGATTGAGGAATCCATTAATATCTTTCTAACTGTAAGTATTGCAAATGTTGAGGAAAGCGGAGATCTTATATACAACAGTATTCTTGTTTTTAGGTGGCTAATCATTTTGCTATGTAATGAGATCTCTTGCTGAGAATTGACTTCTGACTGTCATTGCTGAAAGATAGATACTGGTGATAGGACTAGGATTATTTGCTCGGGTAACTAGCTCTTTGATAACAAAATAAGTTTGGGTAGTTGTTAAGTGAATGATGAACCAGGCCCTAATTGATGAATAGGCCAATAGTTCCCAATGGTCAAGGTTTCTTCTTCCGGTTCCATCAAGCTATTGACACATGTCAGGTGCACATTGCTGCCTAAATTCCGCTCACTATATATTTGGAAGAACAACCTCAAGGAACCAGCAGATTAGGACTACTTCAACTTGATTGCTAAAGATGCTTTACAACTTTGTATTTGTTGGTCGCGACTGCCTATTCCATGCATTCCGAGTTGCTTGGTTTGAAGGCCTTGTTTTTCCTTTAGTTTCCATTATTTTCCATCCTTTTATGGTCTTCAGTACATTATATTATGGAAAATCTGGCGCATAATGATGCTCTCAAGTTTTTGTGGTTCATGCAGGACAGAGTCATAAAGATTCGTAACGCTTCATATCATGATCTGCATTATGCAAGGTTTTTGTTCTGGATTTGCGAGAGTTCCCTATTTTGGTAAGTATTAGGTGCTATTCTATTGTTATTAAGTTTCAGTGTGCAATCTCTGCATGTTATTTTCCAGCTTGTATATCTTTACTTCACATGTACGTGAGTTTTGGTTGGTGGAGAAGAGCAAATTACTTGAAGGTGCAATTTGCTGAGAGCTGGAATGAGATGCACCAACTGCTCATAATGGAGATAAGGCTATTCTTACAAACTTCATCACATGTTGGGGTCATTGCTTAAAAAACAAAATTCCTTAATTTAGAGATCGGTTCGCTCCCATTTTGCTTCAAAAGCTTTTTGGCAGGCATTAGGTAGAAATGAGTGGTGGTTTGACTTTTTACATTGCAATCTTTTACCATCTTATGACTGTCTTGATGCATGCTTTGAGCCAAAGGATGGCATGTAACAGTACGAGAATCATTGGCTTTAATGGAGGGTAACTAGTAACTGCTTGAAGCATGCAATATCTTCATTAGTGTGACAATGATAGAAGACATCCGTAATCTTAACTACGGTATGTTGTCCTATTTATGCTAGCTGCAGTTCACTTAGCTAAACTAATTAAGGAAGGTCTTAATCATCTCAAGAAACAGGGAAACACTCTTTTCTGTGTTGCCTTTTCTTCCCTGTAAGATAATGTAGATTTTTTCCCCTATTAAGTGCATAATATAATGTAGATCATAAATTCAGGTGATCGATCAGGTCTCATTTAAAACAATCTGTCATCCGCCCCCAACTGTGTTGCTTCTAGTTTTTGCTATCTTTAGTTAAGAGGCCATAGACCACACTACGTCACTTATCGCAAATGTGAACTCCCACTGCAGATTGTTTAATTGATGAAATTTAGGTTGCTTATACCATTTTTCTGATACTTTTTGCTGTTGCAGATCATTACTCAGAATGTGGTGTCCATGCTTTTGAAACATATGATAAAGTTATATAGGTACTACCGGATATTCTGATAAAATGTTGGCTTTGCTGATTATATCTTTGAAGCATGCTTTTAAGCTGGATTTCGCTCATGAAATGACTTAACCACGAGCACCGCACAAAACTCTTAATGAAAAATGTTTCCAATTTCTAGGCCGTTTGGGTAGTATGTTTTCTGATATTTCGAGTGTCTTTATTTTTGAATCCAGCTAGAACGATTAAGTTATCTCATTAATTTCTTCACGCAGCGGAATTGAAGAAAACACCCCCTTAAAGAGTTGCTGTCAAATATTACACTGATGGTGATATGCACTTGTTCGGTAACATGCGTTCTTCCGAAATGTGGACAACTCAAAATCGACTTGTAGGTTTGGGAGACTGCCAAACGCCCAAAAAGGTCAAAAATTGGGAAGGGTCAATTCTCCCACCAAGGTGTGTCTTGTTGTTCAGCCGTGCATTATTCCTTTTCTGTTGTATCCTAAATCCTCTATTGAAATATATATGGCTTCATATATTGCATTTCCTACTGCAACATAATCTGTCATCATTCACAACTACAACTCAGAAAAGCTGCGCATAAATCGGAGTTCTTGGGTGGTAGTCAATGATGGGCTCCCTTGAAATGAACAATTTAATTTAATCTTAATTCCTATTTCACAGGGAATTTGTACGATGTTTTCATGAGCATTGGAGAGGATAACACAAACAGAGCATTGGAAATCCATGAAGGCGTGCCAAGTTCACGAGAGGTCTCCTCACTCTTATACAACAGGTGGTACCTGTGAAGAGGATGATTTAGGTGGTTGTGTGCTCCAAGAGGTTGATTGTGAAGGTATTGTGGATTTTATAAACAAATATGTTTCATCTCTCAAGTAAACTCGAGCTAAAATAGTTATACATAATAGTGCAAACTAGTTGATGTGAAAATTGACACGGATACAATGATAGGTTGTGCAATACAGTTATAGGGAGTACAATAAGATGGAGTTCTTTTGTTCATGTGATAAGGGTGTGCTGTATTTTAAGCAATACTTAAGCATGATAAGATGAAGTTCTTTTTGTTCATGGTTATACATGATATTCACATTAAGCAACACTTAATTGCACATAAAGTCTCTATCTAAGTATCTTGTAGCTTTTCATCCACATATTTGATATCGGATGATCACCATTTTATCTTATTCAACTGATCAGAGGAAGTGATTGAGGCAAAAATGCTCATCCACATTGACCAAACGTAAGTACGTAACAACAATCAACTCATGGAGCATTTTTCCAAAACATGGTTTAGCCTGGGCAGGTAAGGTAATTCGAGACAATAATATATGGCTAACGTTGTCGAAGAAATTTTTAGGACCAATTTAATGGTTACTCTGTGAAAGAACATTCAGTGGGCTCTATATAGAGCTGCCTATTAAACAACCCAAGTTTGCCCTGTTAGCTAGGCCTTGTTAAAGAAAAAAGGGTGGCATAAAGAGCGGGTACGTCGTAGCTCAACGCACTCCCAATTACTTGCTTTTGTATCTCAAGGTACGTCGTAGCTTCCTATAAAAAAAAGAGCATGAACTAATAATTAGTTGTAAATTTAAAAGCAAATCACCCAGCTTGTAGCATGTCAAAAATGAAAAACCACTTTTGCTTCATCCATTTTTATATAAGCTTTATTCAATTCGTGCCGAAAATTATTCTACTATATTGAATTTATAAATATTTTCAAAAGATTAATGGAGTAACATCCTTGGAGAATTCGCTTGAATATATATTTTATGAACCCACATTTTAAAACGAATATACCTCTGGATTAAACGAAGTGAATGTATTTTCGGCATGAATTGAAGTACTTTGTTTTTAATAACGTCACTTATTTAGTACTAATTAGGTTGTTTTTTGTCACGCATTGCATGACCAATTTATATTTTCAGTGTATTTTAAATATATGTTTAATTTTATAATAGAAAATATAAAATTAAAACGGGATAAAAATATAGTATTTTTAGCTTATCAGTCTCTTCGTCAGATTAGTCAGAATCAGAACGAAGATCGTTGGATCAAAAATTATTTTTATTAAATAGAGTAGCCCATAAGGTCTCCCATACAATAATGTAGTAAGAATTTGAGAATCAATTTTCAAGTCGAATATCTTGTGAAAAGTTTGTCATTCTTTTAATGCCAACAATAGCACAATAGATACTCTTATTATGCTATTTGTATAGTAAGTTATTTATTTCCTCTTTCTTATTCTTGTTACAATTTCGGTTCAATATATGGGCTTTTCAAGGATGAAAAAACATTGGAACTAACTCATATTATAGCATTGCTCCTTCTAGTGTGCAAACAGAAATGGTTGGCAATTTTCGAGCTAAAAAAAGTCACGCCGCTATATTAAATCTTTGAAACTACAACAAATTATATTAAAGAGATCCCATAGTCACAACCAATTTGTTTTTAATACATTATATATAGATGTCAATATTGATAAATATTTATAATAAAATATATTTTGTATTTATTATTATCTATAAAACTACATCCTACAAAACGACAATTACTGAAATTAAGACCTGAAACTCAAACCATATTTGGTCTACTATACTAATATGCATGGTTTACTTTTAAAGATGTAAGTTTGCAAGTGAACCCCAAATGACAAACGCGCAATGATTATTAATTCTTTTTAAGTATTTTAGTTGACAATAATTATAATAATTTGCATTATGTTACCTCAACTTAGTTTTTTAGAGATTCACAATATCATTTTTGTTTGCACACTGGCATAAGTGAATAGACAATTCGGAAAAAAAATTACAATTTTTTTTTCTGGATACATGTAACTTAAAAGCTTGGCATTATTTTCTTTTATATATATATATATATATATATATATATAAAGTATTATGGTTCCTTGCAAATCTGATAGTCCACATGTGATAGGAAACATTTGCCGAAATGTTGTAAACCGAAAAAAATAAAAAAAATAAAAGCATCAAACGAATACATGGTGACATGGCGTAGTGGGAAAAAAAACACACACACACACACACACACATAAAAAGATGAAATATCAGTCACATTTTTTCTCTCGCTTAGTCAATTTATCTTTAAAATCCAGTAACATGAGCTTACATGCTCATAAAACTACCTGAAGTTTAAGAAAAAAAAAATGAAACAAAAATGCATATGATAGTTTCATGTAGTTGCTTCAAAAGAAGATGAATGATTTTGTTCTTTCATGAATAATGTTGTTTAGTAACTTGAAGTTCCAGAATGAAAAATAAACTTATCATAAATTGTTGATTTCCATCTCTTCTTGCATCACATATTAAAGAAGAATTGGAACATTTGAACATGCATCTAATGAGAACAGTTTAAATTTGGAGGAATGACTCATTGGTACAAAATTGGCTATGAAGGCAAGGCCCTTAACAACTTCCTGACCAGCAGTGGCACCCTTTCGTTGGGGGTGCTTCTCTTTAGCACTCAGATATCTCCCCTGGTGAAGCCAGTGCAAGTATGTCTACGCTGCCAATAAACATGACCTGCGTGCTAGTACAAACTGCAAGACCAGGAGTTGAGATCATGCAATTAGATACTCCCTCCGTCCCATAATTTTTGTCCAGTTTATCTAAGTTGGTAAATGTTATTTTTGGTCAAATTTAATTATATTTTACCTTAAACTACCGGATATACCCCTACCTCGTCAATTCTTTAACCGGCAAATAATACATGAGTTATGAACAAACAGAACTCGTGAACTCCTTCACCGAAATTCAAAAATCGATCCCCATTCAAAATTTTCAAACAAACAGAACTTCTTCACCTGTTCTTCACGATTGAACAAAAAATTTTCAAATTTTCAGATGAATAATTTCGAATCTTCCTACTCTAACGTTGTTTATGGATGTAATTCTCTCCACCGAAAAATTCGACACCGGTATGGATTGCATGGAGCTCTTCCACTGTGAGGCCTTCGGTCGTGCCAATCTAACCAAATTTTTCGATGAAGAATCTTCATATTCTAAGTTTCAGTTTGGAGTTTATGAAACCAATTCCTCACTTTCACCTGAGTGTTCCTCACAGGTATCGATTGCTCGGAGTTCTTCAAAAAAGGAGTCATCATTTGTTCCAGATGAACGGAATTTTCAGATGAATTCAAATTGTTCTGGAGGAAGTTCTTACTCTGAGCTTCAATTTGATGTTCCTCCATACGATTTTGATATCTCGCTGGGAATATCCTTTGAATCGATTGACAGCGATTTCGATTCCGACTTTGACGGAGTTACTTCTGAGGTATCGAATTACAACTTTGAATCATATGAAATTACTTATTCTGATCCATATGAATCATATTTTCAAGAAGATAAGATTAAGAGGAAGCTCACGGATGCAGAGAGGAATCAGATTTTGGGGATGCTTGAGATTGAGTTCCAGAAAGGAAAACCATGGCATGGAACTTTTGTGTGGATTGCTGGTTATTTTGGTGTAACTGACCGGACTGTACGAAGGATTTGGGCGCGTGCAAAACAATGTTTGGCTAATAGAGAAAGGATTGAAGTTGAGCGTAGATCAAAACGGGCTGGCAGGAATGTGCTAGATATAAATTTTGAAGAGATTAAGAAAGTTCCTCTAAGACGTAGAAGCAACATCCGTTCACTTGCCAATCAAATGGAAATAGCTCGGTCGACACTCCACTAGCGGATCAAAACAAGTCAGATTATTGTTCACTCTAATGCAATTAAACCATTTCTCACACAAGATAATATGATAAGGAGGCTTCAGTTTTGTTTGTCAATGCTTGAAGAGTATACACTGAGTAGTTTTCCTATATTTAAGGAGATGTTTAACATCTTTCATCTTGATGAAAAATGGTTCTATCTGTCCTAGAGGACTAAGAGATTTTATTTGCATCCAACTGAACCTCCCCCTGATAGATTTTGCAAGAATAAAAAGTTCATTCAGAAAGTAATGTTCCTGGCTATTGTGTGTAGGCCTCACTTTGATTGGTGGGGTAATTGTGTGTTTGATGGAAAAATTAGAATATTTCCATTCGTAGAGAAAGTTCCATCCAAGAGAAACAGTAAGAATCAGCCAGTTGGAACTTTGGAAACAAAGCCAATGTGTCCTGTCAATAGAGAGGTTTATCGTAGATGTTTGATCGACAAAGTTTTGCTAGCCATATGTGCCAAATGGCCGAGGGGATCACCTGGTCCTATCTTCATTCAGCAGGATAATGTCAAGCCACACATTGCTCCAACCGATGTGGAGTTTATTGAAGCGGTTAGGAAATCGGGTCTTGATATTCGTCTAATGTTTCAGCCCTCAAATAGCCCTGATCTTAATGTTCTCGATCTTGGTTATTTTGAAGCCATCCAAGTGCTACAACACCAAGAAGCACCGAGCACAATTGACGAATTGCTTTTTGCTGTGGAGAAATCCTTCAATGAATTGCATTACAGGAGTCTAAATCATGTTTTCTTGACCTGCAACAATGTATGGTGGAAGTCATGAAAGTTTTTGGAAGCAAGAGATGGACAGCTCCCGACTCGAATGCCTTGTGATAGGGAACTTGTTCAAAAAGTGATGCAATATTTACATGATCACTCATAGAAGGTGAGAAAAAGTATTGGTTTTTATGATTATTAGATAGTTTTGCTTGTAACTTATTAATTGGTTCTTAATTGTATAATGTTTTCAATGCAGGAGAAACAAAAAGATGGTGGAGAAAAGATTATATCAATTTTGCAGGTTTTTTTTACAGTGACTATATAAGGAGTAAATGTTGTGCATCTTGTAGAAATCATAGTAAACTGCTCTACTTGTAAACCTTACTGGAATAATTGTTGTGTTGTGAGGCATTAGCTGACAGATTTAAAGTTGTCTCATATGTACTCTGAATCTGGAATCTGATGATACAGCCAGTGTTGTTGCTTAAGGCATTAGCTGGATGTTGCTTAAGGCATTAGTTGTTTATGTTGTGAATGCTGCTGTTTTTTTTCCCGCTCCCCAGCTGGCTGTTTTTTTCCCTCTCATCCTAATAAGTTGGAGCTTATTAGGTTTATTAAATTTTCATTTGATGGTCTGGTGCTCACGTGAAAGCCTTATACTTTATCAAGTCATTAGGGTCATGATAACTGTTTAATTCAATTGTAGTTGCTGATGTTTGATGGCAAATTTCGCCTTTTGCCTTTACTAAATGTTTCCCGATGGAATGGAGGCTACTTTTCTGTAGTGAAAAAGGTTCCTCTACCCAGATTCAATCGAGAAGCCATATGCTAATCATGACCCTTGATTTATGCTGTGCCATTTCTCTGTTGGCAGGCTATATCATTTCTGTTAGAATTTCGAATGATGCATAACATTTCTGAAATTCCTTTTGGTTTGTCAAGTTTAAGGTATTCCAGAATGACAGGAAGTAGAAATTCGAACCTCAGTTCAGAGGATTCTTTAGCAGAAATGTAGAGATTTTGCAGTATAATATAGAGACTTTGCCACAGCTATTGTCATAGATTTTGATTTGGAATATCTTTCTGAGAATTTGTGTATCCTCTATCATTGATACAAACAAATTGCAAGTCAAAAAATAGCTATAAAAAGGCTCCTCATTTGACTTCTTATGTACAGTATTAGCACAAGGAAGAAGGAAAACAGAGTTTATTCTTTTTCAAACAACTATTGTTCTAAACACAATCGCATGCTTCATATCTTCAATGACCAAGGGCGTAGGTTACAAAATTGTTCGCTGTGGTTTCTCTGTACTTGGGGGAATTCTCTAACCAGAGCCCTCAGAGGCACCACATTTGCCCACTCCAAATTCGTTCACGTCATCTTTAGAAGAATCAGAATCCTCAATTCCATGATCCCTAAACACTTCTGTAAGTTCACCACTCTCATGCATGGCAACTGCAATATCACAACGACCAAGAAGCTCTCCCTTACAGCACAACAGCAGAAATGTACTCCAATTGGAAAACTTCTTCAATCCCTCACGAACCTCATGGTCCCTCAGTATGTTAAAGCTTCCAAATTAGACTTTTTCTTTCTTCAAGTTTCAACAACCTTCTGGCTAAAACCACATTCGGGTGCTTCAGTAAGTCTCATACCTAAACTGGCAGGAGCAGCAGGGACTCCAGCAGCAACAGCTCCAGCAACTTTAGCAACCTTGTTTGCTAAAGCTGATAGGTCAGCACCTTCTAGATGATTGTTCTCAAAAAGAAAACGTCACGCACCACATTAAATCTATAAGATATTACTGCACAGGGAAGAAGTAATAGTAAGTTGAACAGTAAAACAAAAAACACCTTCTTCTTTTTTCTTTTTTTTTTTGCTGGTTTTGTTCCACAATTTTTTTTATTTGTAAACCTTTCATTCCAACATACCCTTTTACATTTCAAATACACATTTGTGCATTCTCTATACAAAAAACACTTAACACACTAAAAATATATCCAAACATACAGACTATCAACAATGTGACATACATAACATACGAATTCTGTGGAAATGAAGATGTAAAGACCAAAGTATTCAAATACACACACAAACACACACACACACACACTTTTCAGGTTGAGTAGAATTTTTTTAAGCCAAATATAAAAAGACAAAGAGAACATTTTATACTCGAGATAATATTACTACTACTATAGAACACAAGTTGGCGTAGTAGTAATAAATTGTTGTTAGGCCACTGGTCCAGCAATGACTTCCCCCCTGGGCACAGAGGCATAAAATCTCAGCATCCAATCTCAAATCTCAGCCAACTTTTTTGATTGGGAACTCCTGCAGATTAACGGCCGAAAACAATAATCCAAAGTACGTGTAAATATAATCCTACTTGTATATAAAAAGATCTGATCTGCTTCCTCTGTGCAAAATCCAGAAATACCAATCAAAAAATTCAGACAAGTGAGATTGAAAAGTGCTTTTTTTTCATTTATTTCAGGGGGACAATAGTAAAGGCAAAGGGGCAGAAGATGTATTAAAATATGGTAGTGTAGGGAACATTTTCAATTATTCGACTAGTAGAAAGATAGCCCTTAGTAGTTTATAAATTTCACATACCTCATCCATTTAATCTAGCTAGGGTGAGCAACAACTTTCTGCAATTATTCTTTCCTTTTGGTGCTTTAATTCAAGGAAAGCATGAAGAAAGTAACTCTCTTGTTCTTCTTCATTCTACTATTCCTTCAACTCCAGCAAGATTTAGCCCTTGGTGATTTTCAGAAACTGGAAAACCAGGCCACATCATTTCAGTTAGCAGCCCACAAGCAACAAGGTAAGAACCCATTACTCACATCTCTCTATTAGTCTACCACTTATTTGTGCTTTAGATGGTTCATTGAATTGATACTGGTGAATCTATTAAGGAAAACATAGCAGTGACAATGTCAATATGCGCAGAAAAGGTTTTGGAACGGAGAAGGCACAATAACATTTGCAACTCACCTGTAACTACACTTCCATATAGGTAGCATACTTTTGTTAACAAGTAAAACAGGTTAACACTCACTTGATCACTTGGTCCTACACAATAAAAAGAGGAAATTTGCATGTAATTAGCCAATTTTACACCAAACTATACAAAACAAACAAACCAAATGATTAAGAAAAACAGAATGCTTGGAGCTTCAGAAGCACAGAGCAAACCTTGACTTTGGAAAGGATAAGCTCAGCGTGTCGTTCTTGCCACTCAGATCATTGTTCACGTTTCCAGATACGCCATCACCTCCCTTTTCTATCCCTCCTTCCACATCTGCATCTGCATCAGCGAATATAACACAAACCTCAAATTAGTCAATTTCCTTGAGCAAACAATCGAAAACCAAACAACAACCAAGCTCAGCGAAACGCCAAGTTTATTCATGAATTTAAATTAACTGGAGAACCCAATTTCTAATCATCAATAAAATCCCTACTTCCATTTAACTTCACTTTGAATTCTAAATCTAACCACAAATTAACAAATTGAAAGTCAGATTTCTTTGAAAGAAAAAAAAAAGCCTCCGATTCCAGAAAAGATAATGAGTCTAAAAACATCCAAAACCCAATCAACGTCCCCGCTCCAGAGGATACCAAACAAAATTTACAATTAAAGTTCCCAATTTTGAAAAAGTAGAGAATACCGAACAAATCAATACCGTAATATTCAAATGGGAAAGAAAGAGTTCTTCACATATTCCCTTCCGACAACCATCCGATCAACCACCTCCTCGTCACCGCCGCTTTGAGCCGTCGGACTCAGAGCTTCGTTTCGCTGCTACTGCATTTTATTCACCTCTATCGTGTGTTGAGTTTAGCCACTACTGGATTAAACGGTTTCCAGTTAATGGATACTTTTGACTGAAGGGTAAATTCGTAACTTAATCCATAAAAAGTCAAATCAGACAATAATGTTGGGACAATTTTTTTTGGCAAACTGGACAAAAATTATGAGACGGAGGAAGTATATCATTTTGAATTCTTATTCCATCGGATGGACTTGCTACATACTGCTGCTGCATTCAGAATTAGTAGCCAGTTTTCCATCACTTGATTTTGTTCTCCTGACATCACTTTAGTGAGGGAAGCTGAATGCAACCTGCATAGATACAGGACTTCCCAGAACTTACAAGCTGCAAAAGTGGAAATGCAATTCCAACTTTATGACTTCCGAAAACAAGCCTATAACAAGAAGGAAAAAGAAAAATAATGGTAAACTCTAAATGTGCATGACCAGATAACAAGTAGCCCAAAGAGATGAATACGAGGAAAAAAATCTGAGTTGCAAAATGATTAAAATAAGAAAACCCATTTCATGTTGCCCTTACTGCTGAAAAACTCACATCGTCAACAAAAACGAAAAAGATAAATTGATTTTCATTGAGATTATATTAAAATGCAAGAACATGCATATAAGCAGGAAAAGTAAAAAATAAAATAAAATAAAATAAATTTATATTAAATAAACCTTAATCTAATAATCACATTGCAGTTATATATTATTTGAGAGATTTTTGGGTTAGGTTTTTATCATTTTTCTGAAGAAGAATAAGACACTGCTACTCCAGTTTTCGGCTGACCGAGAGGTCTAACGCTCCCATAAACTTGGATGAAGTTCCTTCCCCCAAACTGAGGGTGAAAAGTGCCCACAACAACATGCATATAAGCAGGAAAAGTCAAAAGAAAAACTAACTTATAAATAATATAGTGAGTCGACTCTCTGTGGTTCCCTTATAAGACAAAGAAGAACAGAATTTTCGGAAACCAGCTAATGAGTGAGAACATTACTGCATAATATTTCAGTCATCAGACTTTAATTATAGGGATGAAATAGAAGAAGAAACTAAGTTGAACTTACAGATTGAGGCTTCCCTAGAGTTGCTTCGTGCTTGTATGCTGAGCCAGTTCTTCTTGGTGAGTCAGTTTTTCCAGCTGTTTTTTTTTCTCATTCCTATCTTTGTTGAAGATCACAGTGAAAACCTCAGCTGAAGCTGGATCATTGACATCCCATTCACCAAATTTTGGCAAGGGTCTATCGTGCTCCTGTAGAAAATGCAAAACATGAGGTCCTGGCAAATGAATCAAACAAGTTTGGAATGAAAAGTAAGAAGGATAATAGCTACATGACAGGACCGTGCAACCAAATACACAAAACTCAGACAGGTTTTGAAATTTCTCCAAAAATATACACATATTTTACAGTTATGATTTGTGGCAACTAATTTTCTTATAGCAACATGTTTCTTTAATCAAACAATACTGTAAAGAAATTCACAGTACCACGCTAATTTTACATAAAACAGTAGTCCCGAGATTCATAGTTTTGCATGTTAACCAAATGCAGGTCAACACTAATAGCATTCACCAGTTGGATTAGTCATTCTGATAAGGCGCATAAACCATTATCAAAATGAGAAATCGTAATCACTGCTCTTTAAATTTCAACAAACTGAAATAAGTACAAAAGGAAAATCATATTTAAAAAGAATTTTCAAACAAAGACTGAAAGACAACATTTAGAAAAGAAAATTGCAAACACCATCAGAAAGCTGACATTGCATTCAGCTTACCTCCGAATTAGGTAACCCCAAGAAATGCCCATTAGCCAATTTAAGAAAGTCTAAACTGGTATTTCTATTTATCTACCGCAACTAAATAAAAACTGCCTGCTCAACTAACACATTGAAAAGGTAAAATTTAAAGAAAAAAAAAGGTTCTACATGTGTTCTCTAAAAGTTAATCACTTTCTTCTTACATCACTGCTATTTTACCTTAAAACCCTCTTTAAACTGTTATTGCTTAAGGACTGAGGATGCCAGATGAGTAAAACATCAATGAAACTGAAGGACACACAACGAAAAGAAGCAAAGCCGGAATCAAACAGAAAGTGACTGAAGGGTCGATCATGAAGGAATAAGCATCTTAATAGACTCTTTTATTAGTTGCAGGATCAAACGAGTGAAACTCTATACACATAGAACAAACCTACCAGAGAAACTCAAAATTTTAGCACCTAGAAAAAAGGCAAGCTGGAAAGTTGGCTCTTACTTTAACCCTTAGCTGTTTTAGTTAGTGAAAACACTAAACAACGAACAACCAATAGAAGCAAGTTCTAACTTTTCAGTTTCTCTATATCAAAAGAGATGAATAAGTCTGAGCAATAGCCACAACAAAACAATTATTTGTATGGTGTAATATTATCCTATCCCAGCAAAATAGCAGATATTAAAAGCAAAACTAATTTGTCATCACTTTGCAAAAGAAGAGCTAAATTCCAACATGGAACGAACTCTTATTTTGCCAGTTAAATAAAGTAAGAAAAACATCATGGCTGCCAAGGAATCAACATCTATAAAAAATCTCTGATCATCTCCAATTATCAGCGACACACCACGTTATAGTAACAGCTCAAGCCACTTAAATTGAGTGAAAAAAATTTGTTACCCAAAGTAATTTTGCAGCAATAGACATTTGGGAAAGGATAAGAACTCAATCTAACTGGTTACATTTCAAGATTTCAACAAATAAAATGTCATCTGAAACCAAAAGGATAATAATATAATTACAATCACAAATGATTTTTCTGTGAAGCAGGATCTTTCAAGATATTGTTCAAAGGAGGGTGTAATTGTCCTTAGGGTTCTTATAAATGAAATAAACACTTCGATAATAAGATCATAAAAGGCCCAAGTCTATTCAAAGCATTGCAGAAAATATATTTTCTGTAGTAAACAGCAAGAGCATATAACGACATTCTTCAACCCAAGAATGAAAGTTTTGACCACCGTCGCACTGAACTATAACCCTCTAAAATGCATGTTTCCGTTCCAATTTAGCCACAAATACACAAACATCTATCTAGGACTGAGCTATAAAGTATAATTAAGTAAAGATTAATGATGTGGACTTGCCTGAGAATGAGGTAACAATGCCCAACACCTCAAGGCTCCAGTTATATTGATAAATAGCTTGGTGACTCCAGGATAATCCTTGATTCAGAGATCCTGACCAATCTTCCAAGCAGCCATCACTTCAGGGCTGCTCTCCTTGACCGTCACAGGAATAGATTTCCACAGAAACCTTGGACTGTTACTACAACATGATAGGACGACCAAAACACGATAATTGAGTTTCTCCCTGTCATTTAATTCAACAAAAAAGAAAACCACGCACCATGTCAATAACTATAATCTCTTAACCGCATATTTTAGAATCTCTTTGTAGGTAGATCATGCTAATCAAATACCTTTGACTATCATTACTGCAGCTGTTAAAGCCAAAAGAAGATAATTTCTTCCATTCAGTTTTCAATTTTCCAGCATATGCAATTACTTCTCAGCTAGCCCCAGATTTCTAAAGCATCAATAAACCATTCGAAAATTGCATACAATGCATCTCATAACTGATTGAGTACTTGTATATGCATCTAAATCAAGTCCAAGCCCAAATGCTCGTATTAGTCTCAAATGGGGCAAAACAACATTAGTACGAATCCCTAAATCAGCTTCTACATATACAAATCAGCTTCTACAAAAAATCCCTTTATTCCAAACCAGGCAGCATTTTTCTTTAGCACCAATAACAAGCCCCATTTTCAAGAATTCATTATCAACTTAAACGCACAACCCAACCAAAACAAAAAATTCAATCACATGACACGAACAGTAAAAAATCCAAATAGCTGATTGCAACACAGAAACCAGTTCAAAGATACACTTTTTTAATCTATTAGAGAACCACTTACATTTCTACAAAACTCCATCCATAAAATTTGCACTATCAAACACGCGAGCCCTCTCTGAAAAATACTACAAGGAAATGATTCCCAAAAAGTGGTTCCAGATTTCATAATATTACGCTTACGATAGCCATAAACAACCCGTGGAGGAACCGAAGATGATATCATCAATATTGTATAATATGCAACATTAATTGAACAAGACAGAGTCCAAGACACGGTCCAAGAACCGAATTATAATTTAAGATAATTTAGCCACCTGGAAGACGAATATCTTGTTCATTCCTTCAACTGATAGAAGACCCTTCATAGTAAATGTCCTCACTTTGGTTCAACAATAATGCTTCCAAATCTTTCACCCTCGTCGTCCACCACCACAGCCACCAATGCCACCACCTCCAACCACCAAAGTTTCCACCACAGATCCCACATGGGTCACCAATTGCGCGACCAATTTCACAGAATTCGCCAAATCCTTCATCTGGAAAACCTCCAAGTCCAGCGCCAACAAACCCATCAGCAGCACCACCAAAACCTCCCACCACACCACCGGAAAAAAACCACCACCGTCATCCCCCTCCGCCTCTTCCAAATCGTCCACCATCACATCCAGAATATCCTCCAGAAATTGAGGCCGATGTTTTCATCAACACTATAGCCGATTTGACCTCGTGCGGCACCAAATCGTAGACACCCGCCTAGGAGGGGAAATTGACGCGCGCAGAGGAGAGAGGACTTGCGTAAAATTGATTTGGGAATATATAACTATGGATGAGGATGTCAAAACGACGTCGTTTTAAAACGGCGTCGTTTGGAAACTCGCGCGTCGCGCGGCTGAACATAGTTTTTTTAAATTTTAAAGATATGGGAATGGTTTATTTATTTAATGACTGTTTTAACCCTTATTAAAATCCCTGATGTCATCAAGAGCCTCTCCAGCAATCAAAATATTAAGAATATAATTAGAACAAGTTCTTTTATAAGAATATAGAATAGAGATAATATATGAATTAATTAAGTACATTCATTAAAAATGCAGTGCTTTTTTTTTCTCTTTGGAAATTAAATGCATTGCTTATTTTCCTTCCTTCATTGATTCTTTCCTACCTCTATCTCACAATAGAATAATAAAAAATAAAGGTAAAAATGAAATGGAAAACAAAAATTTGGACTCTTTGGAAGAGGAGTGGAAGAGTCGAGAAGCTTTGTGAGAATTAATGTGCCATCAGACAGAGTGGTGGGTGAACAAGGTGCTGGGCTGGCTTTTTGTATGAGGAATGAGGAGGGTGGTCTGTTGTTAGCTAAGTCTGTTTTTAAATGCCATATAATGAATGATCATGCAGCAGAATTAGAAGCAGTAAGGATAGCAATGATGGAAGCCCAGAAGCGAGATATTCAGAACATAGAAATGTAATTAGATGTTAAGACTATGGTGACTTGGTTACAAGGGTATATTGCCCCTGTTTCAGATGTTTCAGTCATAGCTGAAGACATCTTCTTGCTGAAAAACACTTTTACTATATGTAAATTTATGTTTATTAGAAAACAATGGAACTCGACATGCCACAATCTAGCTAAATTAGGCTTATCTAGCACTAGTTCACAAAGTTGGGAAAGTAATGCCCCTTTGTGGCTAGATGAAGCGTTTAAGGTGGATTGTAATAGCTCACTGTAAACCTCTATTACCTTTTTTCAATTGAAATATGAATATCGTCTTCGACAAAAAAAAAAAAAAAGAAGAGTCGAGAAGCACCTCCCAATTTTTCTAAAGATTTTTGAAATTTGAATTTTTGCTATGCGTTTTTCCCTCACTGGTGCGTGACTGTGTGTGAGCAACCTATATATACAGCTGCCTGCTTGCTGGTCAGGCACACATAAATTTGCAGAGAGAGAAAGAGGCAAAGTATCAGAGTAATCGATAAAAATCCTTCCTGATCTTCTTCCTTTCGTCAAGAATCAAGATGGAGGATGACGGGTCCATGATTATTGGGTTCCCGGATCATATAAACGAAATGGTGTTTGATATGCGGCTGTAATGATGGCAAGCTCTACCAGGATAAGAGGATGTTCTTTAGAAATTTGATACAAAATTCTGGTAATCCTCTGAGAAAAAGACATCTCGAGATGCTGAAGCCTGGTGTCGATCCGCTGCCTGAGCTCTCCGTCTGGATTTCACCGGACAAGTTCAACGGCACTTTGACAATTACCGACAATGGAGTCGGAATGACCAAAACCGGTTGGCTTTCCTCAATTTTGTCTTAATAATTGATAAGATTTGGTTTGCTTGAACATGCTTTAGTAATTTAATTTGAATATCTTGCCGTTTGTCTTAATAATTGATAAGATTTTGTTTGCTTGAATATGATTTAGTAATTTGATTTGGAAATCTTGCCGAGGGAAGTGGTTTAAGTTTTGAGATTGAGCATGGTGTATTTGATTTGAAAATCTTCATAGATATTAAATATGGAAAAAGTCAGAAGGACTCTAATATAATCTCATCTGATAAATGATTTATTAGTGTGCCCAAAATTTCAATAGGGGACAAATTACGTCTCTTACGAAATTGTTAACCCACAAAATTACTTCTCTCAGAGTTGGGAAAGTTGTTGACCGGGCCTCGAACCAAGAGGTTGATCAAGGGTGCCAAGGGTGCCAAGAGTGCCAAGGATCTTGCATCTTCGAATGGTCTAGGATTCCTATCAGCCTTGCTCGTGGCGGATACGGTGGTTGTCACTACTAAGCACGACGGTGATATTCAGTACATATGGAAGACTGAATGTGGTGGTTGCTTCACTATTACCCCGGTTCCTGGAAGCGAGGAACTTGAAAGTGGCACAAAAATCTCTCTTATCCTCCTACATGATTAGGTTAGTTATCACCATCTGTGTCATCTTTTGTCCTGCTATTCTCTGGAGTCTCTATCCAGTATACCCGGGGGCACCATACCCCCCCTCCTATTTTTCACAATACTAGTCCTTACTACACTTTTTTTTTCTACTTTTCTAAATAATATCCTATAATTTATAGGTTTAGTCCCTTTGATTTTTTTTCTCTCTCCTTTAAAAAACATCTCTAATCTTTAAATGACCATATCTCATGATCCGTGAAGAATTAGAAAACGTATTACACATGAATTTTATTGTATTCGTCGAGATCTATCTAACAAGATCCATGTCGAATATTTTTTTCGAGTTTAAAAATGACTAAATTTCGATGGGCAAAATAAGATGGATATCTAGTTTAGAAAGATGGATAACCAGTTTAGTTTAGATTAAGATTCTTGTATTGCATATATCTCTTGATCCGTAAAGAATTAGAATACGAATTATACATGAAATTTATGGTGCTCGACAAAATCTATCCGATAAGATCCATGTTGAATATTTCTTTTGTACTTTAAATGCATTTAAATTTTACGGGCAGAAATGAAGAAATGTGTTTTTCTTTGAAAAATGGTTATCCGTTGTGTTTCTACTGATTATCTAACCGGTTTGGACTGTTTATAGTTGTTATCCAATCATATTTTTGACATTCACTCTTCAAAAAAAAAAAAAGAAAGGAAAAAAAAATAATTGGATAAGTATTGCAAATAATTTGGATAATCAATAGAAAATAATTGGATAATCAGTGCAACACGTTCGATAATCAGTACAAAAAAGTTTGACAATCATTTTCATAAAAGAGTAAGGAAAAAAATACTAGATAACCATCACAAAGAAGTTGGATAATCAATATGAACACATTGGATATCCAGTTTAAGAAGATGGATAACCAACTTATTTTATATTCATATTGTTGTGTTTCTTATATCTTTTGATCCGTAAAGAATTATAACACGAATTATATATGAAATTTATAGTGCTCGACGAGATCTATCCGATAAGATTGAATATTTCTTTTGAACTTTAAATGCATTTAAATCTTACGGGCAGAAATGAATAAACTAAAAAATGATTATCCGCTGTTTTCATACTGATTATCCAACCGGTTTGGACTAATTACCTATTTTGTTTTATCCAATCATATTTTTTACATTCACTTTTCAAAAAAGAAAAAAGAAAAAAGAAGATGGATAACCAACTTAGTTTAGAATGATATTCTTGTATTACATATATTTCTTAATCCGTAAAGAATTAGAACACGAATCATATATGAATTTTATAGTGCTCGACGAGATCTATCCAACCAGTTTGGACTGATTATCCATATGAACACGTTGGACAACCATTCCTTTTTCAAAAAAAAAATAATAGAAAGAAAAACTAAGTTGGATAAGCAGTACAAATGAAATGGATAATTAGTTCAAACCTGTCGGATAATCAGTACGAACACAAAGGATAACTATTTTAAGAAAAAAAAACTAGGTTGGATAAGCAGTACCGATTAGTTGGATAACAAGTACAAACATGTCGGACGAGTATTTTTTCATAAAAAAATAACTGAAGAAACAATGGCATGGGGTTGGATAATCAATACGTACACATTAATTGGACAAGCATTTTCTCGAGAGAAGAAAAAAAGAAAAAAAAAATGATTGGACAAGTAAGTACAAACTTATTTGGACATGCACTAAAAATAAATGGATAACCAATATGAAGCGATATAAACACATTGGATAATCGTGTTTCAAAGAAAAAAAAAAATTGGATAAGCGGCATAAACAGAATGGATAACCAGTATTAACGTATCGGACAACAATTTTCTCCAAACAAAAAAAAAATTAGATAACCAGTACAAACAGTTTGGATAGACATATAAATCCGTTGGATAACCTGATCATCCTCTCACACGTACTCTGTAGAATGCCTACGCAGATCCATAAGCATTGATATGATTTAGTCGCACATTCTGACCTCCATGATATCCAGTCACTTATTTCTACAGCCCTGCCAAAATGGACATCAGATATCTTATTAGAAGTGCAAAAGAAGAGTTTTCCTCAACAACATCAAATCTTTATGCAATTCATGTTTGAGCTTGGTTTGTCCTCATTTCTTGCATTTGTGATAGTCTTTTTTTGTGTGATGTTGACATCTTTCTGTTCTTGAATTCAAATTTCAATTAGCCCGCTCTTCATTGTTAAAGGTCCTCCGAAATTTATAAAACCAAGAGTTCATTCTAGCAGGTTTGAATTTTAAAGGCGAAGATTGTATCTCTAGTTAAGAGTTTTGGTTCTAAATCTGATTAGAAATTGGAATCATTGGCTAAGGAAAAGGATTATGGATGAGTCTTTGGTAAAGCAGTTCTGTACATGTCTCTGTTTAGGGGAACAACAACAAACTTTTGATTTTGATATTCAGTCCATAGAGGATCCTTTTGATCGGTCTCTCAGTTTGGTTGGTAAACTGTTGGTTAACAGAACTGTGCCTTATGATGATATTGTATATCAATGCCGGAGTCTCTGGAAACCCCCGGGAGGTGTTACTTGCAAACATCTCTCCACAAATATGGTCCTTTTCACCTACAGTTCAGTGGTTGATCTGCAGAGAGTCCAGAAGGGAGCCCCGTGGGTGCTTTTTGGCAGGCATTTACTGGTTCTGGAATCCGCCCAAGGAACCACAGATGCCCTTGCTGGAATGCTTCATACCAATGAAATGCTTTATAACAAGCTTTGCTGAGATACTAGGAAATAAATTGGGTGAACTAATTGAGGTGGACAATTATGATGTCTTCGCCGAGTTATGCTTGATTTATCCAAACCCTTGATACCTCTAATAAGAGTTAACATGGAGGGAGAGTCAGAACCCAAAAAACACAGTTGGCCTTGGCCAGAATTCATAATGAAAAACTTCTGCCACTTATGCGGTAGAATTGTTGTGTGGACAATTGTGCAGCCTATGGTTTGCAGTCAGCAGATCTATTACCAATATTATCATTCGCTCACGCCATATAGATGAATTCAATTTGGGAAATCTTCTAGGAATCGAGTTAATTTCCAGACAAGAGAAATACGTGTCCTAGAAGCCAATACAGCTCAAATACTTCATTCTGCAAGACACGCTACTACAATAAAATCTAGAATTTTGTCTCCTTTGTTTTGTAAGTTTTCTAACATTGCCATTGAGAACTAATACGAATGGTTGAGAAATATTTATATTAAGGTTGATAAGGCTTGATTCACTGTGCAAATGACTGAAACTTTTTGGTTTCTTACCACATTCACCTTCTTTATTTCAGTAAAAATGATATCGTTTTGTGCTTAGATCGTACGTTGTTCCTAATGAGATATAGTCAAAAGTTATGAAGGAATCAACATTTGCGAAATTTCAACCTTACGATGAATCAACAAGCCTAGTAACTGCATTGATAAAGAAACAAATAAAAAAGCTAAAATGGTAACATCATCGAAGTTTGCTCTGTTTCCACCTAGAGCATACACCTAAAAGTTATAGCTGTAAATTAACCGCAGTTTCGTGAACGTTTAGCTTTCAACTATTTCTATCCCCTTCTCATCAACGTATACTACCAGATTTATATTAATACCTTATTTATATTCTAACTAGTTGAAAAGGGTGTGAAATTAAAAATGACCAAATCTGTAAAGATGTTGGCCTCTCAACCAATAAGGCTAATGAACACTACTTTCAGTATCAGTACTATATATAAAATGCTCCCATCATTCCTCTCTTTTTCATTAAGTTAAATTACTCATCAATCAACTTCTGAAATCAAAAAAAGGATGGCCAATTCAGGTTTTCTTTTGACATGTTCCTTGGTCGTTTTGGTGATCAATGTAGTCAATGGGCAGCCTCTTGTTCCTGCACTGATCTTATTTGGTGATTCTTCGACCGATGTGGGAAACAATAACTATCTAGAAACCTTGATCAAGGCTAACTTCCTCCCTTATGGAAGAGACTTTATCAACCATGAACCAACTGGAAGGTTCTGCAATGGAAAACTTGCCACAGATTTTACTGGTAATTTTTACTTTCATCATTTAATTCTTCAGTCCCATTTGCCCCTGCCCTTTTGTTCTCTAATAACATTTTTTTGCTACGCTTTTTCAATGATCATGCAGCTGAGAACTTAGGTTTCACTGCTTATCCGAAGCCTTACCTAAGTAAAGAGGCTAAAACACCAAGTAACATGTTGCTTGGAGCTAACTTTGCTTCAGCAGGCTCTGGTTATTATGACCCGACAGCAAAATTATACGTAAGTATCCATAACATTAGCAATGTTACATTTCCTGTTATTCAAGTTTTAGTTCTGATGTGCATTTTCCTTGTGGATTTAGAATACTCTTCCATTAAGTAAGCAATTGGAGCTCTACAAGGACTACCAACAGAGGCTAGTTGCGCTTGTCGGGAAAGTTAATGCATCAGCTACCATAAATGGTTCAATCCATTTTATCAGTGATGGAAGCAGTGACTTTGTACAGAACTACTACGTTAATCCTCTCCTCTACAAGAAATACACGACGGATCAATTTTCCGACATTCTCATCCAAATCTTTGCAAACTTTGTTCAGGTTTACTGCGCTTCTGTGTGTTACAAAATGCAGATACTCTTTCTATCGCATAATCAAAGTCCGGTTTTTTTTTTATATCTAATTTAGTTATAAAAACACGACTATTAAATTGGGACGGAGAGAGTAAGGATCAACCATTCAATATACAAATATATTATACATGAATTGTACTTTACTTCATCTAAGAATGAACCTTAACCATGATTCAATGACTGACTGCAGGAGCTATACAAATTGGGAGCAAGAAAGATTGGAGTAACAACATTGCCACCAATCGGATGCCTCCCTGCTTCCATAACTCTGTTCAGTGAGGATACCAACAAATGCGTCGATAAGATGAATCAGGCAGCAGTTGCATTCAACAAGAAGCTCAATGCGACGTCCCAAAGCTTGCAAGCGAAGCTCTCAAATCTCACCGTTGTTGTCTTGGACATCTATCAACCACTTCTAGACCTTGTCAATAAACCTATAGAAAATGGTAAGCCATGAATTTTATAAAACATACAGAAATTGACTTTTGTCATTTCAACAATACAACAAAACTGATAACTGAAGTTTGAAGTCTGAATTCATTATGATTACGCTTTTTGATCGAAACCAAGATCTTTTTGTACTGAATGATCAATTACTTTTGGTAGGATTCTTTGAAGCAAGGAAGGCGTGTTGCGGATCAGGGTTGCTGGAGACGTCATTTCTGTGCAATTCAAAGTCACCAGGGACATGTGCAAATGCATCAGAATATGTATTCTGGGATGGATTTCATCCAACTGAAGCTGCAAATCTTGTTTTATCCAATGACTTGCTTGCCAGTGGCCTTAATCTCATCTGATCTTATTTCTTCTCATACTACACCAACTATCGTTTCGAAGCCAAGAAGAAACAAAAAAGATTGTTGATTTATGGTTTGATACTTTTCTTTTTTTTTTTTCTCACGAGTGTATTATTGATATGAATATTGTATCTTTCAAGTTAGTTATACGAGAGCCAGTGAGGTAAAGCTGTTTAATGGTATTACCATTTCTTTTAAGAAAATTTTATTGAATATGTTTAAACTTGCTAGAAATCGGCCAGTCTTGATTGACACAAAGAAAAACTTGGTGTCAAAGACCAAATGACAACATCCGAAACATGGCGTGAGATATTGGTAGCCATAACATGTGTTACTCTATTTTCTACTCGTACAATCTAATAAGTATAAAATAATATGGGATTAATAATAATTGTCTTACCTTAAAAATATAGACAAATAAAGACTAGAGAAGTCTGCTTCTCCTACTGCTGCTAGTAGCTACAGAAAAATGACCCAACACGTTAACATTTTCTGAGATTGATATGAATTCTGCCAGTAAAGATTGTTTGTTGGCATTACTGATCATTCAATTTAGTCTGTTTTTTAAAAAATTATTTATTTTAGTTAAGAAAAACTTCAATTAATAATTTGTTTATTTGGAATCTTGGTATCAATGTACTAATGTAATACCTAATAAGAAGTTCAATTAGATGTTTTTCAAGATAATAGACCAAACAAAATCGAAGCTTGACAGTCGCTTCACCCATTAAACAGACGTGGTTTGCACTTTTTAGGTCAAAAGTTTGTGTATTATTTTTGAGTAAATGATCCGCAACATGCAAATGATGTCTGGCTAATTAATTAGATTTTATCATTCGCATTTGTCACGCCAGAATCCAGAAAATCGTTGGTGCATAATTTATTTTATTTTATTAAATTAAACCATTGGTCCCAAAATGTTGAAAACCTATACCACATCTTTCACTTTCTTTCTGTAATTTTGTTTTCCTTCAGTTTACAGCTTGGCTCTACTTCATTTTTCTCCAACGAAATTTAAAAGCTGTCCATCACATTTTTTTTTTTTTCCTTTTGGGGGGGTTTGGAAAATCACAAATTGAATAAGTTAGGACTGTTAGTACGAATCAGAACATATACTCCCTCCGTCCCAAAATTATTGTCCAATTTGGGTTTTCATTCTTAATACAAACTGAACTAAAAATGAAAATCTAAACTGGACAATAATTTTGAGACGGAGAGGGTACATATTGAGATAGAAAACCCATTTGCTTACTAAGGATATTTTTATTCCTAGCTTGTATCACAAATTGAATAAGGATAATTTTAGTAAAAAAAAAAAAATGAAATGGCAATTATTTCAGAATAAAAAAAAGAAGTAGAGTACTCGTTCAAGATATGAAACCAACTTTTGAATATTCTTTTAAGGTTTCCCACCAAATAGATAGAGATAGTAATTGTGGTTAAAAGGGACAGTACAAAATCACAGAAATCAACTGTCATTTTCAATCATTACTTTGATTTCCCGGCAGGACAGTCCCCTCCACATACTATAAATAGTTAAATACTCATATTTATTATAATATTATTTTATTTTTTATATTTAAGAAAAACCCCACAAGTCTGAGAATAATAAAAAATAATAAACGCTTTTCCTTTTTTTTTTTTTTTGAAAATAAATAAATGCTAAGACTACATATATAAAGAATACAGTATGGTACAAAAAAACACACTTCAAACCGGTAAAGATTAGTATAAATATTAAATAAATAAATAAATACATCATGATTAGAGTTAAATGATTAATCGGAAACCCTAATTTCATCCCCTTTTCCCCCATCTCTTTACACTCACACACGCACTAGAAGCTTCCAAGATAGCGCGAAGTTTCCCGCCCTGACCAATCGAATCTGATCGACTGAGACGGCGCTTCTTCGTTTATCGGAAGCTCCGGTGGGTGAAGATTCAGCTGCGTTGTGATGGCGGAGGTTGCGGAGGCCAGGAACGGCGATGATCGGAGTGACGGTAGCGAATACGACGGGACGTCGGAGGACGAAGGGACGGAGGATTATCGCCGGGGAGGTTACCACGCCGTACGGATCGGTGATACATTCAAGCATGGCCGATATGTGGTGCAGAGCAAGCTCGGTTGGGGACATTTTTCCACTGTTTGGCTTGCTTGGGATACTCAAAAATCTGTAACTTTCCCAATCCTTTTTCTTTCTCTAATACATTCGTAATGTTTGTTTTGACTTCGTAGTTTCTTCATTATCCATTCTATATGTCAGTTTGTGTATGCGTGAAGATTTGTAAATTTGTTCCGAAATTGATAATAACAAGTCTAGGGTCATAATGGTTTGTGTTTTCTTCTTGTTCACTTTCATCTCATTGGAAACTTAGTTGTTCTTCCTAGTAATTATATATTTATTGTTAAATTTGAGGCACTTCAGTTTTTTGTTACCCAGAAAGAAAAATGCTTTTTTGCTCGATATTAAGAAAAATCATGGGATGATTACTAGCCTGGAGTTTGTTTAAAACTCACAATGTGCTCAATGTAGTTGTCCATGATGTTCCTTTTTATTTTTCTCTTGAATTGTTTGTATGCACTGTGGCTCTGTAGGGGGGATAAATGGGGGAAATATCTAGAAGATGTCTAAGTTTTTAGTTATGCTTGTGCTCCTTATGATATTTGCTCTTGCTATGCAAATAACTGACAATCTGAAAATTTGCTTTTTGTGTATTTTTTGGGCTTAGAGATATGTAGCTTTAAAAGTTCAAAAAAGCGCGCAGCATTACACTGAGGCGGCAATGGATGAAATCACAATACTAAAACAGATTGCTGAAGGAGATCCAGAAGATAAGAAGTGTGTAGTGAAATTGTTGGATAACTTTAAGCATTCAGGTCCTAATGGGCAGCACGTGTGTATGGTCTTCGAGTACCTAGGTGATAATCTTCTGACACTTATTAAATACTCTGATTATCGGGGAATTCCTCTTCACATGGTCAAAGAAATTTGCTTTCATATTTTGGTTGGTCTGGACTACTTGCATCGCCAGCTTTCTATCATCCACACTGACCTGAAGCCAGAGAATATATTATTACTTTCCATGATTGATCCATCTAAAGATCCAACAAAGTCAGGTGCACCTCTTATTCTTCCATCAAGTAAGAGTAAGGCTTTGGTGGAGCCAGAGGCTTCCAAAGAGTCTAAGAATATAAATGGTGATCTTACTAAAAATCAGAAGAAGAAAATACGTAAAAGAGCTAAGCGTGCTGCTCAAAGATGTGCCGGGAAAGAAGCTGAGGAGGAAGTTGATCAAGACAATGAAGCAACTAGTCCTGAAAATTCTTGTCAGGAAGGAAATTCCAATATTGAATCAACTGAGGAGCAGAGAAATTCTTCAGCTGCTAAAGAGAAATCATCACTATCTGAAGGAACTAAAGGTGGTCATGAAGGGCGTAAACGGGGTAGCCGCACAACAAGGCAGAAGCTGCTTGCTGAGGCCGATCTCAAGTGTAAATTGGTAGATTTTGGAAATGCTTGTTGGACATATAAACAGTTCACCAGTGATATTCAGACAAGGCAATATAGGTGTCCCGAGGTCATTCTTGGATCAAAGTACTCGACATCAGCTGATCTATGGTCTTTTGCTTGCATATGTTTTGAGCTGGCCACTGGAGATGTTCTATTTGATCCTCATAGTGGTGACAATTATGATAGGGATGAGGTATGCACTTCCAACCTTGGTCTTGCCAAATATGTGTTAGAAATTTATGATCTCTGTGATGGGTCAATAATAAATAGTTAAGTTTTTCTTTCCTCTGAATTCCTTTGAACCATTATTTGCTGAATGCTGTCGTAAATGAATCTGATTGAATATGTGCCATTAGTTTAGTGCAGAAAATGTCAAGTTGGTCAAATTGATTTGCTTACATTAACTTGACTTTTAGTTGTTTTTGTGTGTGTATGCACGCCAATTTATTGATCAATTTGGTTACAATGAGTTCCCGTGGTTTCATTCTTTCTCATGAAATATATTCATCCATTCTATTTTTCAACCTTCTTTGTCTTAGTTTTAGTGCATGTCGGTTGAACTATAGGTACACTTTTGGTTTAGTAGTGATTGTGCTTTTAGGCAGTACTGTTGAATATTGGGAATTATTACTTATCTGAGCTTTGTTTCTAGGAATAATGGGCTAAGTTTTTCTGTTGCTCGATTCAATGATATTCTTATATTCTTATATTCTTGCGTTTTTTGAGTTTGTGTTGAGATGTTTGATCTTGGAAAGTGTGGTCCATACATGCGATTAGGATAGGTAGCATGCATTCTATTTCTGCTTGGGATTTTAGGTGCATAGACAAGGATGGATTATGGCCGTCTGTATGTCTCCTAGTTGGTCAGAGAGTGATGCCAAGGAACTAGAAGGCAGGATATATGGGGGTAGGAGAGTGTTAAGAACTGGAGATGATGATGCATCTACCAATCCCCAGTTGTATTTTGCATCCTTTTACCATTTACTGAAACATTGGCTTTCATACTATGTAAATGTTTTTCTGCGTTCGAATTTTCTGGCATCAGATTGCTATTAAAAAGCCTTGGTTTTTGAGTTTTCTGCTCGGTCAAAGTGCACATTTCTTTTATGGTATGAACACTGTTCTGTAACTTATTTTTCTGAGAGATGAAGTTTTTGAAAGAAGGTGTATTGTCTGAAGATAGAAACTAGATGGTAGGATTTTTTTCCTTTATTAGTTAAGTTGGGTATAGATTTCAGCGTCTTTGTGGTTTAGGTTTGGTGCACTTTGTTTAGCTGTCCTAAGATTAGCGAGTGTACATTCCGTCAGTTTTCATCCTAATCTTTTTAGGCTACCTTGGACCTTTAAACTACACCATCTTAAATTTTTTTTTTTCATTCATAGGATCACTTGGCCTTGATGATGGAGCTTCTCGGGATGATGCCACGGAAGGTGAGATGAATTTAAGCTGCCTTTAGAGTTTACACAACTGCTTTCTTCTTGTTTATTTTTAAATTGAAGTGATCATCTTGAATTTGTGTACAGATGATTTTTTTACGGTAACTAGACCAAATCTGTTAAGCTGAAAATGATGTTTCTTGCAGATTGCTTTAGGTGGTCGCTATTCAAGGGAATTTTTCAACAGATTTGGAGATCTAAGGCACATTCGTAGATTGCGGTTTTGGCCTCTCAGTAAGGTGCTTATGGAAAAATATGAGTTTAATGAGCGAGATGCGACTGAATTGGCTGACTTCTTACTACCAATCCTTGATTTTGTACCCGATAAAAGACCTACAGCTGCACAGTGTCTGAGTCATTCATGGATGAATAACGTTCCTAGGCATATTGCACCATCGTCTGGTAAAACTTCCATCCCCGCACTGGAAAATGGAAGTGCAAGGGAAAAGAAGAAAGAGAAAGATGAGAGGGAGGCTATGGAAGCAAGAGTTGGTAATATGAACATTGATGGAAGTTCAAAGCTCGACAAAGACCCTCCAACAGTTGTAAACCAACCAAATAGTCAGAGTTGATTCTTTCAGGTAGTGCATTTTTGTGTCACCATTTGCTTGTTGTATAGGTGTTCATTTGATTATTTGCTCTTTGCTGAATCAAAACTGTTATGGTCGCTTATGATTTGTGTATCCTTTTTGGGACACAACAGTGTCATCTTAATAGAACAACTAATAGATAGAGATTTTCCAGTACCTGGGAAATTTCTTCCCTGTGAGAAACTGAGGGTTATTCTGTGCTCTATAGTTTATATTGCTCAGAACTTACATTAGAATTGTCAGCATCACTTTTCTGGTGTTCATTAATATGTGGGTTCTATTTAGTTTCTTGAGGCAATTTCACTTTTACGGACTATTATTCTGAAATTTCTGCTTGGAAGGTTATTTATCTCTCTTCCCCTTTTTTCTGGTTTTATTAGAAGGTTATATCGTTTCTTTTATCTTGTTTTCATTGAGTTTTTGTGCATACCATTGTTGTTCTTCAGTGTTACATTTATTTATGTTTCATGCTTGGCAGTTTTCATTGCTGAAGATGGATTGCTCTGATTAAAACAATCTTCTGTACCAGGCCATGAGAAAACCCTTTCCTCCAATTCTTGGATTTTGAGATTTTGTGGTATTAGCCATATGAAGTGATCGGAGCAAGCAGGGCTATGCATTTTCTATCGGTTAGAATAGTCCCCATTGACAACGTGTTTGTATCATCTATTCGTTGTAGAATGTAACACTCAATTTATTGTCTGAAAACAGCATCTGTTGATATAATCGAAGGAAAGAAATTATTTTTTTGTGGGTTAATGGACTGAAATTGTTTTGTGGAACTGTAATGTCTTTGTTTCTTTACCTTGGTTCAGAGGTGGGAGCTAATTGTATCGTGTGTCATAAGTGTCACACTTTGGTTTCCATAATTGGTAATGGAGTATTGGTGTAATAAAGCAAAACATTCTTTACTCAAATCAATATATAGGATCTAAATGAGAATATATAATCGCCAAGACCAGGGCTGGATGAATGTCGCAGGAAAGATCCGGTTGGGCAGCGTACAAGCTTCAGGGCTAACACGACGCCAAATCTATCTATGATTCATGTGACTACTAACTACTTCTATCAAGTATCACGTATCAGTAACTATGCTAAATCCTTAGAACACTTCACTAAATGATGTAGAACTATATTTTAAAGCAAAGCCAACCCTGCTACTTTCAACTCTCATGTTGGCCAGCCACCTAATTCCAGGGACTGATATTCCCTCGGATGAACAATGACGAGACGCTGTAGTATACCCTTACTTGAGGATCTCCTGTACAGTGGCTTAAGCAATCAACCGCATTAGAATCAAATCTACTAGGCTGAATTCGAAGTCTTCATAAATAGCACGAAGCGTGTTCCACTGCAGGTGGCCATTCAAGGAATCCAATCGGACCTTCATTAAGACTCCAATGCCAGACTCAATACTAAGACCTGTCAATTAACAAAATTGCACGTAAGGCGTAAGGAGTGAAGAAATATCAAGGCAAGATGCAAACATAAGTATAGTACATGCAGTAGCCGCAACTGTTTTCAAATTTTGATAAAAATTTAAAAAGGTTAAAACTCCCCTACGTATGTAAGCTTTTCCACTAAAAAATTAATAGAAGAGTACCAAAAGTCCAACAGCGGGATCAAAGAAAATAAAATCAAGCAGAGGTGCAATTCTCTTAATAAGTACTCTACTTATTTTCATTGAAACAGGTTACTACCTTCACACAACCATGCTTAAAATTTAAGAATTAAGAACTTCATCATAAAGTGGAAGATAAGAGCTATACTTACAACATCATTTACAGTATTTTCCTTGCTCTTAGATACCAATACATGATGAAAAATCCCACAATTGCACCAAAAATAATCCCCGCTGTTGTCAGCCAAAATGCAAACTGCCAAAAACATCCAAAAATAGAAAGCATAAAACGCTTGAGGATGTCAACAATGTCTGTAACTGCTAACATAAAGGGAGTATGTATACAGGAATGAAGAAGCTATACCACATGCTCTTCAAGATAAGACTTCAAGTTCATTCCGAATATACCTATGAAAAATTCACAAGGAGATGTCATTAGATAGGCAGGACAAAAAATTTTCTTCCGAAAATTGATGGATGGGAACACGAAAGTAGATATAAAATGAGCTTATACAATGGTAGCGTTCTTATGAGCTATACTATTTGCTTCCGGACACAAGTTTCTTCATCTTGAGTCACTCCTTCTCTATAGAAATACATGACTATTCCTCATCTTTTCAAGAAAGATGAGGCCATGCAATAATGAAATTACTATCGGCAAGAGCAAAAATTGGAAATCTCATTCATTTATTAACTTCCCCATCAAGACCCGAGATATAACTAGGCGTGAATCCTTATCAAACTTGCCAGGTAGGGGTTATGATTAAAGAACACAATCTTCACTGTCAAAGGTGCATGGAGCTTCTTTTAAATAGGTCCACAGAATGTAGCCATGTTATATCAAGTGAGCAAAAGTGCCCCTCACTCATATGGATGACCAAAATACTGAACGCAATAAGTGTGATCACTCGTTATATCAAAAGGTAATAGTGAATCACGCCGATTACCTGCAACCAGAGCACCAACTGCAACACAAAATGCTCCAACCTGAAGCAGTAGTTCAACTCTGCTTACTTCAAGTCGGCGGGAGCTGAAAAAAGGGAGAAAATAATACAGGATCAACACTAAATTGATGAAAACCGCCGTACTGCTGATTCCAACAGTCAGGAATACACTAAAATATGGTCTCTCCTATTGACCATCATCAGCTTCTAAAATTGTTTAAAAGTCAGGAATACCTTAAACATGGTAAAATTCCCCTAGTGACCATCATGAGCTTCTAAAATTGTTCATACAAACGACGGGTATGATCATTTCTTTTCATCCTTATCAATTGAAACTCTCAATTTCTTCTACCTATATCAAGTTACATTCAGATTCCTAGCTTGGTACACCAGAGAAACTGAGCATACTTTCCTTGATCGATAATTTTGAAGCATTCAAATCCTTGATTACAGCAATTTTGTGCTAATTATTTAGTTATATCTCCATTCCACCGAATTTTTTTCCCTTCCAAAAACTAGATCAGCTATTCGACATTTCAGAGCATCAAGTAAAAGAAATAATTATGCACCTCAAGTTAACAGCTATAGAGTCTTCCATTTCTTTTGCAGAATCAAGAAGCCTTTCCGCCTGACCATGACAAGATTCACATCTGCAATGTAAAAAAATTATTAGGAAATAGTGCACTAAAAGTTTTGTACTCCCTTTGTCCCAAAAGAGTAGTACACTTTGAGTTTTGAGATAGGTACTAAAAACAGAACAAATTTCAAAACTCAACGTGGACTATTTTTTTTGGAGGGAGTGGCACTTATCATCAAGCAAGAATAACTTAACAAATATTTACAATGCAAAATGATGTATTAAAATGAAATTGTGATTTGCAACCAGAGAAATAATTTGGGCACAAAATTATCTTGGCAATTAGGTGATTTAATAACAATAATAGAAACATCAACAAAGAATTTCAGCCATGATGTAGTCACATCTTTCTAGAAAAACAGTCCACTACTCATTCTTTGCAACACACCACTTGATGGACGTGTCACAAATGAAATCCATCAAAGACCAAGATCAATTCAATGCAAAACTTGAACACTATAATCAATCATGCGCGAAAAAGGTATCACAAATTAATAATTTTCCAATTTTACTGGACCACATTGTCAGGAAGCTGGAGATAAGTTTTCAAGCTCATCATTTTATTCTATGTTTCAGGGTAAAGTTCTGCATCCTCTTTATTTTGGTAACCAAGTGTTGTATCCTTTAGTTCAGAACACTTCTGGTTGTAGTATCCATTTGATAATTCAGTCCCACATTCATAAGACTCCAAAGGTACTGCTAACAAACAGACACTGAGCTATGCTAGCATTATCTCATACATTCCAGTTAAGCTCCTTCACATGCTACGGTTTTAGACACTAGAGATAGCCCATGTCACGAACAGATTCACAAAAAACACAACTAAACCACTCCCATCCGTCATTAAATAAGTTTTAAAATTTTAATAAAGGGAATGTGTACACTTATTATCATCAATTCATCATGAACAAAGACACAGCAATATCTTTTCAAACTGTATGGTTCAGAAGTATCTCCATGAATCTGGTTGAGTTCAGTAGAAATAGTAAAAATGAACCACAATGCATAAAGAGCATCAACGACATCAAATATGGTATTCAGAAGTTACCTTTGAAGATAATTTTCTAAAAGCATCTCAATTTCTTCTTCCTCTTCTGCAAAATTGATTTATTTATTCAGCATTTGATGAAAGATATTGTTTCACCCACTCTAAATTTGAAAAAAGGAGATCACTGTTAAGAATTGAATCATCAATCAGGAATCCAAATGTTTGTTACCTTCGGCAATTTGCTTCTCCAGAGGGACAGGACATTCCATTTCAATATTTCTATTGAGGGTGCAATTCCTTCCCATGATACAAATCCGTCTTATTTCTTCTGTATCCTCAAGAATATCAAGCAGCATTTGTTTAAGAGCCCCAGCTCTGGAACCTAGTTCAACCTTTCAATAAAAGCATCTCAAATTTTCAATTCATACTAGAAATCAAATATACTGAACTGAGAAAACCAAATATACAATATTATACCAAAGTCTGCTTGCTGATGCGGAGTTGTTCTAATACATCAGCGGTCAAACGGTTTGGCAAAACCTCAAGCAATGATTGTACCTGCAAATTACAGCCTTCATTTGAAACTAAAAGTTGACTAAAATCACAACAGCTTATCCAAAACCACAACTTCATAATCCACTTATCCGCAAACTTCTTACTTAACATAACCATCTCAAACTTCTTCATTATGCGCCCAATTTCTCCAAGTTATCCATAATAAACCTCTCAGTTTATCATGGTCTATTGAAGTTCCATTTTAATAATAAATTAAGAAAACAAATACCAGGTTCATCATTCTTTTCTCCATCCTCTGTTTACCTCTTTGTTACTCTAAATATGAAATAATTACATAAAGGAAAAAAACGAAGAAGGAAAAAAAGGATCACTTCAATCACCTGGAAGGTTGACAACACAGTTATATACAAAAGAGTTCATACTAAGAAATGATGCGAATAATTTGGATTTCGAAGAACATTTACAGAAATATCAATGCTTAAGCAGTAATAAAAAGTGCTCGTTAGGGCAACTGGGCAAGTTTTCTTTTTTAGGTTAGTGGTATTCTCTTCCGTTCATAACATGATTTCTGTGGACGAGTCAAACTAGGGGGACATTTCTAAAATTATAAAGTAGAGTGCTACGATTGAAAGTTCAGGGTATTTTCAGAATGGATGAAAGTTACGGATGATTGTGGCAGTTAAGTTGAATCATAATTTATAATGTATATACAAACAAAATGTAAAGTTTGGTCGTTCATAACATCCAACTATTATTGAACATCTAAAGATGTATAGAAGTTCTTAAATTCAATTAGCACAACTTATTAATACATATCACAAACAAAACAGGCAGGAGAGAGGAGACCTATAACGGAAGAATCTGGCATGGTGGAAGTTCTACTCCAGTTTCTATTTGAGAGGACATGACTCTAAACTACTAAAGTAATGACAAACTAAATATACTCACTGTGTTGCCATACTCACACGTGGTTCTAAAGCCATTAGTCTCTGTTCTAATCGTTGTATCCGTGAATGCAAGGCCGCTTCAACCACCTGAAATTTTCTGACAGAAGTTCAATGCTAAGCTGAGAAATTCAGCATATTAAAAAAATGACAGGAGTTAAAAAAACAGTTATGGAAATGAGGAAATCATCACAGCTTTTAGCAGCAAAAACTTGATTCTAATTGTCAACAAAAACAACAGATGAAAAAAACAGATCAAACAAATGAGCCAGTTTACAACTGAGTGCATCTTACTAAAATTGCTAGTGATCATCAGATACAGATCCTTTACTTTTCAAGAAAATACAATATAAACAGTGAAGACTAACCTTGCAATTAGGAACCATCTTTTCAAGCAGAGACTATGAAATCCTAGGGGAATAAACTTTGGCACGCAATAGAACTAAAGGAGACAAGGGCATTACAAGCTCCTGGCAAGAAATTACCTCAAGCACAAACGGCATGGAGGGACCCCCATTCCCATTAGGATCTAATCGGGGTAATAAGGCATCGATGAAAGCTTTCCCTCCCTTGCTACAGAAAACAAGGAAAGCAAAGAACAATTAGTTCAGAGTACAGGAAGATATCATAGGTCTATAAATGACAATAGTTTGTAATTGCATACAAAAGAGCTCAGATAATCACCGGTTATAGTTAAATATCAGCACACTTTCTTGCATAACTATTGCCCGCAAGGTGCCCAAATTTAAGAGAATCGCATGTTCACGAACCTAGAAGTCAAAAAAAGAACTAAATTCAGATCCCAAATAGATAATAAGTTAAGCACTTAGTACCCAACACTTCGTTGTTAAATGTAGTACCAACAATGATGAAGATTTATATGTTCAAATTTAAATAATATCTTAACCATGATATTCGGTGTCAAACCAACCATTTTCAATAATCATGTCTGCAAAGCAATGGTTGGAACCTATTTACAATTCAACATAAGAAAAAACCTTGCTTTGATAGTTGCAAAGTAACTCCAGAACCAATTAAGTCGCAAGAAAGCCAACACACCTAAACTTGGGAAGATACAGATTAGAAGCATGGACAGTACAATGCAGAAAAAAATAATAAATAAATAAAAACTACAAAGGAAGATTCATGCAAATAATCTTTGGAGGGTAACTTTTGGTGCTAACCAATAAAGAAGGCATACTGTTTGTCAACCACAATGAAGGATCGACGCTCCTGATATCCCGAGGACGAAGACCTTTGAATAGCACCAAATAAGTAGTCAGAACCGGGGGTGTGGGGAGACAATTTACAACAATTGAAGAAAAAGAGTTTCAGCACAACTAGAAGGAAATGAATGCAATCAAAGAAGATTTATACTCACCACTTGACTTCAGCAAATGCCTTCTGTTAATTGTGCGAGTTGAAACCATTCCATTGGCCTTCACTTCAACCACCTATGGAAAACAGAAGTTTATTAATGTATCCAAAAGTAAGCTTCCAAATATCTAAACATCAAATTTAAGACAAGATATACAGTGGAAATTTCTGAGACACATGCTAATGCCATAGAATTCAAATTAACGCCAAAAAAGGGCAAAAGATCTCCTACACCACTTTTTGCTGTACAACATCAAATAACACGCATTAGATATTGACATTTTACACGAGTCTACCTAAATGAGATTGTATTTCTTCCACTTAATAAATTCGTAGTTCCTTTTTAAATTCACTTAGCAGTGCCTATTTTCTTTCCCTATCAGCCACTTGGAATAATCATCAGTTTCTTTGATATAACGATATACTAATGTACGTTGAACTGTTAGTAGGTAAATTAGATCACAATCACAGAACAACTCAATTCTTCATCTACTCAAGTCCATATAAAATGGTAAACTCATAATCAACAATGAAAAGTGCAAAACAACAGCGCAGAAGATAAAATTTCCAAAAAAAAAAAAAGAAAAAGAAAACGAAAAAGATAACCTCGTAAACAGGTTCACGAATTCCAAGTGATAAGGAATCGGAGGATGCCGTCGAATTAATCCTCGGCGTGGAAGCGGAGTCCCGCTGGATTCTGTCTCTATCAGCGTCTTCGGCACCATCGTCACTTTCTTTAACACTTACATCAGCTTCCTTCTCCTCAGTAGATTTGGCAGAACACTTAACTCTCACAGAGACCGGCCGGAGAAGAAAGTCCTGAGAGCTCTTACGCGAGAATTGAGAATGCCTCAGAAGTAAAAAAGGATCATTCACATCTGTTGAAGCTTTTAATCGTGATCGGAACTGCACATATCCGGCGACGAAGTGGCGGAGCTGAAAAGTGTTGAGCGGTAGGTGGAGGAGTTGCGAAGCCATTGCCAAGTGAAAGCATTCATGTGATGGGTACTAAAAATTTGCAGCGCAGTTAGTTTACGTTACTGTGTGAGTGCGCGTTTGGCGATCATCTCAGAGTTGTCTTTCAGACTGGATGGATTTGGGGATGAAATCACCCATGAAAGTAACTTTTCACACATTTGAGTGTGTGGTGTGTGTGGTGCCAGGGAGAACTATTCCAATGAAACTGGTGGTGCTGAATGTCCTGCGACAAAATTACAAAGCAACAGACACGAGCCCAGCCACTAGTAACTGCATTATCTGCAAAACGGAAAAAAATGGAACACGAGTTTCTTATGGATAATAATAATGAAAATTAATTTCAGAAAAAAAAGAAAATAAATTTTACCCAGAAAATATTATATTTACACTTACAATTTGAAATTTAATTCAAGTTGTAAATGTGAAAAATGAATAATACTATGAATTTCACTTATTTTAAGCACAACATATTAATTAAGCAACATATTATATTTACTCTCTGTGACACTTCATAAGAGACTGACACCTGTCCTTATTTTAATTCTCACCACTTCAGTCTTCATGTCAAGTTAACGATCGTTAAGTGAGTAAATTAATAATCAATTAAATAATTAGAAAAGAGTTGTTAAGAAAAAGAACGTCTCTCTTCTCCTCATATCTATCTCCTCTCCCCCAATCATCAATTTCACCTCTGGTGAAGATTCTAAAATGCCGAAGCGGTTCAACAGATCAGAATACTCTGAATTGGTTGATGGAATTTAGGCCACAATCAAATTTTGTTTCTGGTTTTGTTCGAAAGACATACGAAAAGGAAGACTATGATGCCGTCCCCTTTGATGATGATGTCCATGCAGGATTTAGAATTCCGCCTCTTGAGCAGAAAAGAAATTCAGCCTCAGATTTGGAACCTCCTCTAGATTTCTGGGGAAGGGGCGCTTGGTTTCTTTTGTAAATTTGGCTGGAACCTGAACCAGATTCACAAGGAATGGTTTTCTGATGATTGGAAAATCCGACAAGCTTGTGGTCTGAGGCGAAGACAGGATCTTTCTGCTGGTGTTGAAAAGAGAATATTTGAAACTGCGGCTGCAATTCATCAATGGTTTTTATTCTTTCTGATAATAAAGCTCTAGTATGTGTTAACATGATTTGATTAGCATTAGTTTAGGGAATGATTCTGATTTTTTGGATAAGTCATGATTTTTGTAGAGATTGGAGACGTTGCTGCATTTTTTCTTGGATACATACATGTAATTGTACCATCAGTAATACACAATAAATCTCTTGTTCCATGTTGGTTCCACCGCCGCCTTCTCTCTCTGTTTTTTTTTTTCTTCTATTATGAAAGCAAGCTTCAGGAAAGTACTCAAATATTATTGTTTTGGTTTGTAAATTTGATTGTTTGGGTGATTGGTTTTGGTATTTACATTGTGGCCCATCCGCTATGCATATGTATTGTGCGGAGCCCTTGCGGATTCCGATTCTATTCGCTGTTTTTAGGTCCTTGGTTGCGGACTCCAAATCAGTGTTCTAAAACAGAGCAAAATCTATTTACTATTTCTTCTTAATAAAATCAAACTCAAAAGCCGAATACTTGAAATTGCGATTATCTTCAAAGCCTTTGTCAAGTTGGCGTGACCAGCTATCTTCTTGAAAGTCTTTGTCGAGTTGGCTTGGGTCACATTGGCTTGCATCCAACTGCTCAACTCATATTCATTCATCATCAAGAAATGTCAAGTTGAGATCAAGAAATGTCAAATTTCTCAATTTAACAAACAATAACTAAATCGTTGAAGTAAATCTATCCATGTACATACCTCCTTAACACTTGCATAATTGAATTGTGGTTGTTTCCCTCTTCCATAACTCAACAAAGCTGGAGAAACATGATGATCATGTTGATACTCTTGGCTTAAATGACCAAACATGACTTGTGGAAAATGTTGTAAATGAGACGTTCTTTTGCTTGAATCACATAACATAACTTCGGGAAAGTGGAGTTCATTTGGTTCAAAAATCTACAAAATACAACATTTTTATCAATAAAATAAATAAACATTAGTATAAACACTAAAACTAATATCTGATTCAACTTACCTAAAGAGGTTGGGAAGACCAATTTAGGACCGGTGAAGGAACCTCAATTCGCTTATTATTATTCTCAAACTTGTCATCCTGAAGTAGCAATAATGGTGGTTAAATCAAATAAGAAAGATATAATAATTATGAATTTGTTAGTTGAGTGTTACGTAACTCTTCATGTTTTAACGATCAATTGTAACTTTAGACTAACAATCAATCAGCTCTTATATATTGCAAGAACTTCATGTTTTAAAGGCTGCCACTGAAATCTTTTTTAAAAAAATAAAAATATGAATTATTAATCAAAATTTTCAGCTAACCTGTAGTGTTTCCACGACTGTATCCTTTTTCTTTGCCTTGCTTCTGCACTTCGTCGCAACACGCTCCAATGCATTCTTTGGTCTCTTACTAGTTTGGTATGTAATTCTTGCTTTTGGTTTCAATCCTTTTATTTTGTTTTCATCAAGTTCAAACTCAATTTCACTTGGAGCCGCACTTATACTTTCAGCTACATCCTTAACTATGGGCATTACCCGATTAGCTTCTTCAACTTGTTTCCCCTTTCCCACACATGTATCAATCTTTTCTTCCATCTCTAAGAAACAATTCTTAGCATATGCATATCCCTTTTCACTTTCTGCAGCTTTTGTCACCAGCTCCATGAACAAATAAGATAGCTCTTTGTACCGCGAACTTATCCTCTTTTTGTCATCTATGTTACCAACTCCCCCGCATTATACTCGGGACATTCCACTCTTGGCTGCCTTTGTCCAACACTTCAAAATGTATTGCTCAGGAATCCTCATAACAATCAAAGTCATTAACACTTTTAAGGAATGTGCGCATAGAATACCTGCAAATTCAAACTTTTTGCAGCTGCAACTTACAGAATCATCAGACAAATTATAAGTGACAGTATGTTCAGTTCGCCTTTGACATAGCTTAATCCTATAGATTCTTTGGCTTCCTGCTTGACTCTCACTCTCAATTTTGCTTTCAACTCCTTTCCGCAGCTCCTCATTAAATAGTGCAAAAACCTTATGCGTGTATACCTCAAATGCATGCTTCAAAATTTCTAAAGGTAATGTCATTGCGGAGTACTTTGGCCATATCTAAAATCATCGGTTCATTCTTCATTTCAACGATCATCTTGCAATCTCTGAAGGTAATGAAAAAACTCAGCCAAATTATGTTTATAACTCACATATTTCTTCACAACAACATTCATGCTCTCACTACGTTGAGTTGTCATGATATCTGCACAAAAAGTTTCCCTACCATACACCAATGCCACTTTTTTTTCTTCTTAAACAATTTTTTTAACCAATCATTGTCTTGCAAGTCATATTTTTCCAACATCTGGTTCCAAGCATCAAAGAAATCATCCACTTCTTCAAAGTCATATACACACTTGCTAAAATCATATGCAAAAGTTTTTTTGAACTTTGCAAAGACATCAGAAAGATGGGTTGTAGCATTTTGGTAAATGTGCCATATGCATAAACGATAGTAAGTTGCTGGCCACTGAGTAGCCAATGCTGTTGACATCGCTTGATCTTGATCAGTTAAAATTGTTCGAGGCTTCTTACCCATCATAGCTCTTGAAAAAGCATCAAACAACCATTCAAATGTTTCTGTTGTTTCATCGTAAAATAACGCTGCTCCAAAAATTGAAGTCTGCTTATGATGATTTACACCGACGAATATTCCAATAGGTCTACCATATCGGTGCTTTCTGTAGGTGGTATCAAATGACACGACATCACCAAATTTTGCAAAATCTGTCCTCATTTTTGCATCAGCCCAGAATATATCTGTGATGAGACCATCTACATCCACTTGAATTGCACAATAAAAGTTTGGATCTTCCAACTGTGATCTTTGCAAGTATTCTAGGACACCTCTAATATCTCCCTGCTTCATTACTATCGTTCTCTTAGTTCGTAAATAATTTTTCAAATCATTGTGAATGAAACCAAGATTTTCTCATCCACCACTCTTTTTTGCCATTATCTCTGTTATTTGTTTTGGTGCCACCCCACAGCTTTTGGCAATATCCACTTCAACTTTTTGAGCAGCGGTCATTTTTCGAAAACAACTGAACATATAACTTTTGCTTGGGCTAGACTGCTCATGATTATGATCAGGAACAAATTTTACAATACGATACTTTCCACCATGTCTGCAACTGATCTTCATCATAGCACTACATTCGTACCTTGTTTCATCTCGAGGGTTCTTAACCGTCATGATGTGCTTATCCGTGCCCCTTTTGCCTTCTCGATTGCAACAGAATATCCAGTCCAAAACCACTTTATTTTTATCTCCATGTACTGTAATCATTCTGGGTCCAAACCCGTGTGCTTTAGCGGAATTCATGTAGAAGTCATAAGCTGCAGATTCATTTTCAAACTCCATGCCAACTTTCAGAATAAATTCTTCCGGGATCACGTGTTGAGGAAGATAATTGTCTTCACTGGCATCAACATCGATAGAAAAGGGTTGATTTTCAAGTGTTTTACAATCAGCGCCTGCAAAGAGTAACTTAAATTTATCATTTAACTTAAAAATACAACAAATAGAAAAGAAAAATCCTACAACACAAACAATCTTAATTGGAACATGAACCACATTTACAAAAAGTATGCGGCCATAAAACATGTTTAGATTGCTTTCAATATATTAATATTAACAAAAGGTGATTGGATAGCTTTTCGGTTAGCAATTTACATACTAAGAGTACATGAAAACCTCAAAGAACTGGTGCCCCATTGAAATTTTGCTTCTGACTTTATTCATCAAAAAAAAAAAAAACCAGAACAGGAAAAAGGAAGCAGGCTTTAATCAAGAAAAAAAAAGGCAGGAAAAAAAGAAAGAAAATAATATTCCAATCACCACATTCTAATTACAAGCGATCGAAATGACAAAAATACAAATTGCGCCATCAAATTATTCTTTTCGTTGAACATCAAATCTGATATATGAGTTCAAGATTATCACCGTGTAAAAAAAAAACTTAACAACATAGCATTATGAAATTACCTGAACCTTGAAAACTATCTTCCTCCATTGATTGTGTGGATTAAAATGATCTCAACCTTCAAGCTTCACAATTGAATTTTAAATTAGGGTTTTGAGTGGCCGAGAAGAGATTTACATACATGGAAGAAGTGAAAACGATGAAATCGGCGATATTTTTTATTTAATTAATTATTAATTTACTTAGTTAACGATCGTTAACTTGACAGTAAGGGTGAACTGGAGAGAGTTAAAAATTGTGTCAGTCTCTTATGAAGTGTCACAGGGAATGGCATAAAATTGTGTCACAGGTGACCCCCACCCCCAAACATGTCAAATTATGAAATGTATATTGACAATATTTAAAAATTAATAAATAAAATACTATTAGTTCATGTCCGAGTTTTGAGATTTATATTAGACCAGTGGTGCCGAATAATAACCACTTAACCAGTATGGATGAGAAGATAAAAAAGGAGCTTTCTCTGTAACAAGTTACAAGACGTGGGCACAATTTAACCTAGACCACAACTGATCCAAAGTCCACCCTTCTAGTTTGCTAAGGAGCTCCTTTAATAAAACTAATTTACTCTCAATGAAAATGAAATGAAACCATAATCTTCCCAATTCTATCAAAGAGAGAATCTAGCTTCTAATTTCAAACCTAAAATATCTCAGCGGAAATTCATTTTGAACAGCATTCAACTAAATATTTAACTGTAAATCTCTCCATCGCTCATCAATGCTACAAAGTTTGATGATAGAAAAGTTTGAAGGCCTCAATGACTTCAAGATACCACATCGACTCTCGGTCTGGAAATGCAGAAAGATCAACCATCTTGTGAGCCTGTAAACGGAGATAATGAGAAAAACAAAATGAAAGCTTTCAGATCATACAGACCATCAGAACGTAGAGAATTAGACATCAGACCAAGTTCGCAAGCTGTACATTCAATGCCAAACAGGATTAGAAGGTATCTGTACGATACAGAGATCTTCACAAAAAGCACTCTGCCATTTTGACAACGGGGTGTGGGAAATTACCACCGGTTCATGAATGCATCCTTTTTACTCTTCAACAAACAACAGTATACAGAATCTTCCTCGTGATTATATACTTGAAAGCACTTGCTGAGTCAACTGATTTGAGGAAATTGAAAATTCGAACAAAATTTCAATGTGGTTTTCAGAGTGCACATATGAAAAGAAAAACGTACTTTGGTAAAATGAACTTTGTGAGGGTACGTCACAAGGAAATCTTTTAGATACTTCAGTAAGTAGATAATAGACTGAACCCATCTACAATTAAAAAGCAGAAAGCTGCACATTCATAGACTGTGATGTGAGTTTTGTGACATTCTTAAAAGTAGAATCCAATCTACAGGAACAATCATTTTCTTTAAAAAGAAGATGGTTCACCAAAGCATGCAAAAGTAATCCTCACTCTCCACTGTCCACTCAACGACCTGGTAGATGAACACTTACTCCTTGCCTTTAGAAATTATAAGAAAATACTCACAAAGAAAAGTCATTATGAAGATTCCAACTAGATCACAATAGACACCAGGCCTAAAAAGAAAAAACTTGTACAAAACTACAAACAAATAAGAAAGAGTGTGAGGTCATACCTTAATGAAGGGCAAGTCATCTGGCCTCATTGAGTACCCTCCAACCACCATCAAATACATCCCTACAGATATCAATATAACTGAATAATAAGGCTTCATTTTCAGTGGAAAAGATTAATACACAAAGCATTCATTTCTGACCAGTTTCCCAATGACGGTTGAGGAATTCGCCAGTGAGAAGAATTTCAATAATGCCTGTGCCATCATCAAGGAGAAAGCGGCCATTTTCGCTGGAAGGAGTCGGTATCGACACTACAATGCCCTGTAGCAAGTTGGTGATAGATATAAATAATGTAATTAAAACATTGCAAGATGTATGAGAATCATATGGATGATTTAGGGAATCAACCAAAAGCATACCTGGACCCAGGCGCGCTGAAAAAGAATGTCACCCAGGATAAAGTTGGACGGAGAGCTAGAGGGTATATGGCGGGCACTCTTTAGTTGCATACAAAGTAACTTCAGTGCGGCTAGACTGTAGTCCATCTCAGTCTGTTGCCACTCATCATGCCATATCAATGCAGGACTTCATGTTAATTAAAACCTTTCCCAGGATTCCCTCTGTATTACATACATTACTTTTCTGTACTCTAATAATTCCCGGTTTTACATCGCATATATTGAGTTTAAGCTTATATAGTATTGCTTGTCTGACACAAAGAAGCAAATGAAACATTAAGGAAATGTTTGTCTTAGTACGTAAGAGTATCAACTACCTTCAGGAAGCCAGAATTCCTTCTCCAACTTAGTTACGTATTCCACAAACTTGCTTATCCATCAACTGAGTATCAAATACAGCAAATAACACCAGAAAACATAGCTACTGTTAATTTGGATTCATGAACCAAAGGCAAAATTCATATGGATAAGCAACAAGATCCATATGGAATATTTTTTTGGGACTTAAAAATGATTAAATTCATGAACCAATTTGCAAAATTACCCGTAGATTCAAACATAAAGGATAAAAGAGCACATGTCGAAGAAGCTGAAACAATAGCATCAGGCAATTTGGCTCCGGAGGAAAAAAGGGGAAAAAATTTTCATAAGCATCAGAAAGAGAACAAAATGAGATTTCCAGAACATGCAGATAAAACAAAAGAGAAGCATTATTAATGAAATGAAGATCATACTCCACTTCAGTTTTAGTGATAAACAACTCGTATCTCCTTGGCTATGAAAGTAAGTATAACTGAAATCTAATATGCACCTTAAGGCACAAAGCCAAAAACTATCCTGAGCGTATCAATATGCATTCTGCATCTGGATGCCTTCTCACAAAGTAAAAGTGCCCAAATTTCAAAATAACAATAATAATTAAAAAAAAAGTCCAATTGGCCTCCAGTTTGAAGTGAGGCAGGTGAATAATCATCTGAACTAAAATCATAGTCTAGAAATGGAGAAGCTCATTAGGTTCAAAAAGCTAACTAGAAATTCCTTACATGAGGTTCTCAAATTCTATAACATTGTTGCGAAAATTTAGGGATTGAACCACATAAACCTAAAAGTGTATGAACACAAAAAGATTCAATTAGATGTATCAATAACATTTTCGGCTGCAACTGATACTTGCAGTGGATGAGCATGCCATATGCAATCAAATGAGAAAACTTTGATCCAACAAGAGTCGCCATAAACAAATAAAAATTTAAAAACAATCTGGGAAGCAAATGCCATCAAAATAGAATCGAGACTCATCAAAGTTTCACAGGAAAAAAAGGCAGGGCAAAAATTATTGCAAAATTTCCCCCTTTCTTAAAATGGCCGTTTAAATAGAAAATGTTTTAGCTGCTTCAATAGGGGTCGGCAAAATCCAACACAAACCAAAATCCCCGCCCAGAAAAGGGTCCTCAGATACCAGATTAAATTCCTCAGAGGCTCAGACTCGAACTAAGCATCCCAAATTAAATTTTTATTTTATTTTTCTCTGAATCAAACAGAAAAAAAAAATAAAATCGTGCCCTACAAAATCATCAAATGAAAGTAAACTTGATATAAATTGGAAAAAAGCAATCGTACCTTTAGATTTGAAGAAAACTAAAAATAATCTGATTAGCTATACAGTTATTGGGCGGTATAATCTGAGGAGAGAGGAAGAGGATCCAGAAAGTCCCGCTCTTTTGGCCCGCCTGGGATTTTAGGCAAAATTTCAAAAACCAGGAATCAATTTAGCAAAGTCCGTATTTTTATTGTTGACGGTCCACTCTTTTTTTCCGATAAATAAATTAGGGGACATCATGGTTATTAGCATATTAGTACGACAAGTTTTTTGACACTTTTCAAAGGAGAACAAGCTGCAAAAAATATTCATGAGCAAAGCGACGAAACACATTCGTTGATGAAATTCGATCAAAAGTAAAACAGGGTATTTTGCAGGGTTTTATCCCTCCTTATAATAAACCCTCAGAATTTAGAACAAGATTGTGCCTTTTTTTTCTTTGGTTACCAAATCGACATGGACGCTTTTGCTGCAATTGGTCATCATGACGACGCAATAGAAGAAGCACTTTTCCTTGATGATGATGATATTATTCATGAAATCTCTGATGATGATGATGATGAAGGTATTTTCTAGTATTTTTTTTTTCAAAATCACAAATCCCCTGTATTGATTTAAAAAAAAAAAAAGAATGTACCCGTCCATTCCACTTTACAGTATACTGTTTTTATATAATTTTCAAATTAAAATGCGGACTATTATTGTGGGAGGGTGGACATAATTATTATTTTTTTGGGTTTTTAAAACTCTATTCTTCTCCTCTTCGTCTGTTGCAGAGCTTCCGGACGCTGAAGATGATGAGGAAAGTTTTGATGCTGAATTACCGGGTACAACTTGTTTTTCAATTTTCACTGGTTCTGTTACTATTGTTTATGTAATCCCGGGTTCAAAGTGCAATCTTTCGTCGTGCCACTGAATGTAACATCAGTTTTTAAGTTTGTCTATTAGCTACCAGTTCATGCGAATGTTTGAATTATAATGGAACCTTTTTGATATTTCATTCCCTAGTTCCTTCTTCGATTGTTTTATATATTCAGACCTGAGATCATTGAAAGGACGGTTGATCTTTGAATCCAGATATTTTTTTGTTTGCATACATGAATTTTGTGGTTTATCTTGGTTAGGCAGATGACATGTTTCTCATTTTTGTTGGTTTCTCATCCCCAACAGGTTTTAGAATTAGATAAGAGTGCATTGATACTCTTTGCCAATGCATCCTGCAGCTAGTAACATGTCATAAGATCTTTTAATATCATAACTGTTTCCTTTTTATCTACATTACAGGCGAATTATACACAGTCGCGTGCAGTCCAACTGATCCTCATCTAGTGGCTACAGGAGGTAAAGATGAAAAAGTATTGCTCCGGAACATTGGTCAAGGAGATTGCGCTTCCAAACTAGAAGGTAGCCAAATAATTTTTAGGTTCTTTCTTGATCAATGCCTTGACCAGATTCATTGTCCTCTTCCTGTTTGAACATTTGTTGATAAACTTTGCTCTCATGTGGTCGTTTAAATCCAAAATCGTTGTGTGCAGGTCATAGTGATTCAATTTCTAGTCTGGCGTTTAGCAGCGATGGTCAATTACTTGCATCTGGAAGTGCAGATGGATTAGTTAAAGTATGGAATGTATCATCGCGGACTTTAGAATGCACATTTGATGGCCCTACAAAGGAGATTGAGGTCAATTAGAATTTTGAGTCCTTTTTTTTTTTTTTTCTCCTTTTTGAGATCTTGTGGTTTAGTATTAAGTAAAATATGATTCTTTACAGTGGGTAAAGTGGCATCCTAATGAACATTTAGTCTTGGCTGGTTCAAAAGATAAAACTGTGTGGATGTGGAATGCTGAGAGGAGGTTTTTCCTTAACGTGTTTGCCGGGCATGGAGGTTCTGTTACTTGTGGCGATTTCACTCCAGATGGTACTTTCTTATTGCCTTCTACATTCTCATTACTTCTTGGAGTAAATGTAAACTTCCTCTTCATTGGCAACAATTGTATCTTTTAAGGTAGAATGATTTGCACTGGCTCCAAGGATGCTTTAAGGATATGGAATGGCAGAAGTGGAGAAATTATCCATATGGTTACAGGTATGAATTTAATCTGATGTAGAAAGAAAATTTATCGCTGTTAACTGTCTAGGTTGAACCTGCATTCTCCCTCTTCCTCTTAAGGAACATGAAGTGTGGTTGAGTATGATGGCATCACACTTTCATTTCTTTAAAGAAATTTTGATGATTATAGTGCACTAGTGCAAATAATATCGATACACATGGGACCCACAGAGTAAGTAATTAGTGATTAAGCATGAAATTAAAAATAAAAAAAAATATCTGGGCTTTCAGTTCTATGCAACTATAAACACCAGTGACATTTTTTTAAAAAAGAAAAAAAGCTTTCTGGAACCTGACCATTACTGCTATTTCTGAGTGGCAATAAGTTTGGTTTCACCTTGAGAAATGAGAACATATGGCCTTTAAAGTATCAACAAGTTAATAATCGATTTTGGCAAACTCTCACAGTTTTTCCTTTTAAGTTGATAGATGGTAGGCTCTCCATTGGCCCTTTCTTTTCCTTTGGGTTTATTATCCTTGCATCATTTAATATAGGTTGACATCTTGATGAATTGTAATTTTATTTGGCTGAAGGCCGAACTCTTATAAGTTCTAACTTCTAACATCCAGGCCATACTTATCCCATCAAAAGGTTGACATGCTTGAGTTTAAGTTCTGATTCTACCCTTGCTCTTACTGGTTCAAAGAGCGGCAGTGTTCATCTAGTTCAGATAGCCACAGGACAGGTTTGAGTCATAACATTCAGGCCCTTTATTTAATTTTTATTGCAATTTCATTCGAGTTTTATGTATATATCGACAAGTTTTTTACCAGTATTTTCACACAGGTTATAGGTTCACTGACTGCTCATTCGGATTCTGTTTTATGCACTGGCTTTGCTTCGTCAAGGTCTGCCCTACTTGTGACAAGTCCCTCTTCTTTTATTTTGTCCTATTTACTTCTAGTTCTGTATTATGAGGCTGGACCTAATTATTTCTTTTAAGAATACCACCATTTTAAATGCTATCATGTGAGGCTTTATAACGTACTCTCCATATAAAATCAAAGCTACTCCTAATTACTATACATTCTGGCAGTTACTTTTTCTGATGTATGTATCTTTAACTAGCAGCTCTCAATGGGCTGCAACAGGAGGCAGGGATCAGAAGCTTGTCGTATGGGATCTCCATAATCTGAACTCTCGATGCATCTGCGAACACGAGGTATAATTACATATAGTTTTATCTCAGCCTAACTGATTAAACATTGCAGTTTTTACATTTCGTGTTACATTAATTGCTAGCACCATTCTTTGAAGTAAATTGTACTATGTTTTTCATTTGGAAAGGGAGTAGTTGTATGCTTGACATGGTTGGGTGCGTCGAGATATTTGGCTACGGGTTGTGACGACGGCAAAGTACAGATATGGGATAGTCTTTCTGGAGAATGCGTGAGAATCTTTAGCAGTCATGACCGTAGCGTTCAATCTCTGGCCGTTTCTGCCAATGACGATTTCCTGGTTTCAGTCTCTTATGATGAAACCACCCGTTTTTATGAAATTTCTGGATTCAAGTGATGAAGAAATATGTGTGTTTTATCAGTTTTTTGTTCAGCAATTTTCAACTGTCATTCCACCTTTTTGGTATAACAAATCGAAGTGAAATCAATTAAAGATAGTTTTTCTAAATTACTCCATCCGTCTTACTCAAATAGTCCACATTGAATTTTGAGTTTTGTACTGTTTTTAGTGTAAATTTAAAAACTCAATGTGAAATATTTTTTTATGACGGAGGTAGTAATTTTTAAAAGTAAATGTTTACGTGTTGTTTTACATGTGGAACTTGTAATTGAAATATGAAAAGATTTTGATGTTGAAATTGCACCCGCCCGCGGTGTCGATTTAGTTATCGGATCACATTTCGTTTTCACATGAGAAATTGATCCTGATTTTGCCGGATAATGAGAAAAAGTACGAAGAACTCAAGAATTCAATACTAGGGGATGACCAGGGATCCGATCAGGATGGCGAGGACTCAGAGTCAGAGAGATCTGAAAAAAAGTATCACAATATGAAAATAATACAAGATGAGACGAACACAAATTTAGCTAATCTTTGGACAAACATATACTCCCTCGGTTATTATTATAAAACATTTTGATTTGTATTAAGTTTCATTTTGTATGTTTTCCCAATTAAAAATAAAACTGTACATCTATTATTATGTTCTTTTCTTTATCATAAAATAATTTTAAAGTTTTATTTTTAACTAGGTGTTAATTGTGGGGTTTATTCCTATACATTTATTAAAAAAACATTTCAAATTTTTAAATGTGATAAATATAAATAAAGTGACTAGTTTGAAATAATTAATATTGTATGAGTAAAAGTAAATTATGTCGTCGTCATAGGTAAAAATATTGCATCTATAATAAATAACAGTATTTTATAGATTTTACGAAGAAAAAATTGTAATAAAACCATGAATAGAAGCATTATACAACCAAAAGTAAACAAAATCACTAACATATCTTGATTATAAATCCATAAATTTGTAGTACTTCCTTTGTAATTGAGCAATTACACATCTTGATAATAAATCTATAAAATTTCATTAATACCTCAGTGCGAAATTTAAGAGCTGCAACTCAAAACAGTTGGCCTAAACAATTCTTCAATGTTTTGTACCTAAGATGATCCTCCATTATTCTTTTCCTGCCATAAACACAACAAAGATGATTTTAGAAAATGAAATATTCCCGTTTTTTTTATAAAATGAATGTATAATTTCCATTTTTAGTTTTTGTTCAAATTGTTAAGAAACTAAAAATCCAAATTGATGAATAATTTTGGAACATAAGCATTAATCTGCATAAATCAAGTATTTATTGGTACAATCATATTTATAAAATGAAAATGTGTGTTATGTGTGATACCTAATAAAAATTCAATCTGCACATGTTCTTTCCATGTATCACTGAAGGTAGATTGATGCAATTAGCTTACTCCATATTAGAAGTTGAAGACTAACTTTGTTTTCTTCTTCTAAGGCAACACATGCAACTCCCAAAAACATTAGAATGTATCATGTTCATGGCTACCGAAAAATGGGTGGCATATATATATATCTACTTTTCATTGTAGGACAATGGTGGATTATTTCATAAATAATCAAAAAGCATACTCGGATCGGAGTCACACAACATGCACTAACATATTCTTGTTCCATGGATTGTTTTGACGAATGATGGCTCCCTGCAAAAGTAAAAAGAGAAAAAAAAAAAAAGTCAAAACACAAACAAATTGGTGTTAGTAAAAATATGGAGAGAAAAGGGAAAATAAAACAAACAAAGAGCTACACAGAAAGATGAAAGGAGAGAAAGATATATATAGGCGAGGAGAATGAAGAGAGAATATATAAATGGGGTTTTTTTATTTTCAAATTTTTAAGAGATTGATTTTGATTGGAGATATTTTATAAAAAAAATAATTCTACAATTATCGTAATAATAAATCAATGTGCTTAATTCATGGGATATGATTTTTTTGAGACTCAAAAAATAGAATTAATCTTATTCGGAAGTTGTGGTTAGAATTTTGTATAAAATTCAAAGACTTCTTGATAATTACACTAAGGTTTCTCTCTCTCTCTCTTTTTTTTTTTTAAATAAAATGCATGATAAAATGAATTTAAAAAAATAACCTAAACCGTATAAATAAAAGCATAATTCTTCGATGTTGTATGCTTTCATTTATAGGGCTTATTTAGGTTGATTTTCTTGTCTCGGGTAATGTTTCTGGATTTTAGGGATGTCATATAGAATCTAAATTGATTTCAGTTTCAAATAATTAACTATTTGAGAATGTGTATTAGTTTTTCTGTCGTATTAATTTATATTATGAGGATGTCACGTAGTATTAATTTTCCCGATCATTACCAATCATCAATTATTATAATGTGGAATGATAATTTTCACTTCACGATATGTCTTATTATTTAATGTTGATTGATTTGTTTTAAACAAAATTAGAGATTATGTTTTTTTTTATGATAAAAATTTAATTCCTTAATTATTTTCGGAAATTTTGTGAAGCTATCCCATATAGTTCATCAAAATTCACCCATTTCCACTTCACAACATATTTTATTATTTAATATTGATTGATTTGTTTTCAAAAAATTAGGCAATGTGTTTTTTTTTTTACGGGAAATAACTACTTTCAAAAATTATAACGACCCAACTCACCTATTTGTTATCATACATTATGTTTAACTATGAGTTGAGTCGTCCGCCGAGCTCTCGCCCAAGGCGCATTATTTTTGTTCATCTTTAAGGACAAATTCTAAAATAATTCATCAAAATATATTGAATAATATCACTTCAAATGTTAATTCTAAACATTAGGGTAACATTTTCGATAAAACTAATTTTGTGTTACAATCTATCGGCAATAGCATCTCTTGCAGACAGTCTCCTTTGATAGAACCTCATCTGCACCCGTCCTAAATCTGGGAGTGGGATAAGGGAGTAAAACATAAAGGGAGTGAACGCCGAGCTCAGTGAGGTCCTCACTATATTACTACGATATTTTTTTATTTTGATAAATCATTTCCTAAAATAATTTTAAATATAATCACTCAACAATAAATTATTTCACATTAAGCAATTAACAATAGGGTGGATACGGAAAAGTCTAGTAAGGCACGTCGAGGGTCGATGTGACACAATGACGGGGTCTTTTCCCTAAAAAATTTAATTAAAACAAAGGTGGACAAATTTAAATTTTTCAGAATATTTGTGGACATGAATATATCCCACGGATTTCCGAAATCCGAGTTATATTTAAAATTGAGAACTCGGATTTTCGAAATCCGAGTTTACCTCGGATTCGGATAATTAGTTTTAGTTTTAATTAAAATGAATTCGGATTTTCAAAATCCGTTTTCTATTAAATTCGGATTTCCGAAATCCGAGTTTACCTCGGATTCGGATTTTTGAAATCCGAAGGATATAGATTTGTCCACAAAAATTTCAAAAAAATTAATTTGGTCTACCTTTTTTTAAAGAAAATTGTTTAGGTCAAAAACTCCACAATGACGTTATTCTAAACTAGATTTTAACAATCATTCAATATTTCGTCGGAAGGAACAACCTTACCGACTAACAATAACAATTCAATGTCAAAAAAATTCTTCCTCAACACCTTGTGGCCACCATTGGATACTCATGAGTTCCGCGTGCGTCCATTCGGACAACACGATAAGCCTAGGTAAGCTAACCCGGTGACCAAGCCCGTTGCCGGCCTGCAAGGCTTCGCCTAACAAAGGCAGGGCCCAGGGTCCAAGTGAACAAAGTCCACTTAAGCAACAATCATATACATATTATTTCACAACAATCAATCCATTACAACAATAGTTTTCCTGGAGTGATAAAGTACACCACTAGAAGCAAACATTCAATGATCATACTCAATCAAGTAACCAGTCAACAATAACGTTCAGTCACATAACGATATCATTTTATCTCAGATACGATAACACCCAGAACACATATCCCGAGGCGATTAAGTACACACTCGGGTGTAGTAACTTTCAAAATATATATATTCTCATTTGATATCTTAATAATACTTAAAAACGTGCTCATGGGTGTAGTAACTTTCAAAATATATATATTCTCATACTCCTAATTTTTTTTTAAAAAAAAAAAGAGTGAAAATTACTCACAAGTATCATAAGGCAGTTCCCTGCCTTCAAACACTTGATCAGCAAGTCAATTATTAATAGCATAAGAATCTTATGTCCTAGACTGATAAGTCTATGCATTTCAGTTTGTATAATGATAGTTCCAAGAGTGACTAAAACATAACTTATTACTATTACTACTAATAATATATATATTTAAATTAATTTGATTTCATATATTTTTGATTAGTTTTTTATTTCTATTTAGCTTATTTTCTATTAACCTAGAGGCTTCAACTTTTTTTTTTTTTTTTTGAGTATTTGTAAGATGTCTACCGTCGTCAACAGTGACTAATCCTCCTTGCTAAATAATAATAGGCTTCAACTTATTTCTACTTTTCCAAACCAAATTCTATATATATATATATATATATATATATATATATATATATATATATGCCTAACCTTGCTGGCCCAACAGATTGAATCCACTTGACCCTAATTCACTAGACCATCCCGCCCATTTATCCCTGCTCCTTCTTGCCCCTTCCCACGCACACCATCATCAATAAAACAGAGCATCATCATCATTAACTCTTCATCAAACTGAATTAACAACGCAACACTAAAACTAGAGAACAATGAATTAATTCAATACTTTTAACCGGCATATTAATTATTGGAAATAATTTCCTAGGCAGCCACAGCTATCTTTCTTTCAGCCTAGGCCTTCATCATTCTTTCAAAATCAATTCGATAGTTACCAATATCAAATAACAAAGATCAACGTTAATATTGGCTTGCAGTAAGCACAAGATTAAGTGCATCGACCCGATTGAGAAGCTAATTAAGCTTAGTTTATGATCTTACATATAATATTCCACGGTTTACG